GACCCAAAAAAGTCAATGGTGAAAACAGAATTGAGCTATCTTTGCTCTGAAAAAAGTTCGGATTTTTTCCTAGGAGCTATCGATCAATTTCCTTAACTGAAATCTAAATGTTTGTCATCTGTCTAGATATCACTTCCATTTTGATTCTGTGACCTAACTAGGCGGTTTTTCGACCCAAAAAAGTCAATGGTGAAAACAGAATTGAGCTATCTTTGCTCTGAAAAAAGTTCGGATTTTTTCCTAGGACCTACCGATCAATTTCCTTAACTGAAATCTAAATGTTTGTCATCTGTCTAGATATCACTTCCATTTTGATTCTGTGACCTAACTAGGCGGTTTTTCGACCCAAAAAAGTCAATGGTGAAAACAGAATTGAGCTATCTTTGCTCTGAAAAAAGTTCGGATTTTTTCCTAGGACCTACCGATCAATTTCCTTAACTGAAATCTAAAAGTTCGTCATCTGTCTAGATATCACTTTCATTTTGATTCTGTGACCTAACTAGGCGGTTTTTCGACCCAAAAAAGTCAATGGTGAAAACAGAATTGAGCTATCTTTGCTCTGAAAAAAGTTCGGATTTTTTCCTAGGACCTACCGATCAATTTCCTTAACTGAAATCTAAAAGTTCGTCATCTGTCTAGATATCACTTTCATTTTGATTCTGTGACCTAACTAGGCGGTTTTTCGACCCAAAAAAGTCAATGGTGAAAACAGAATTGAGCTATCTTTGCTCTGAAAAAAGTTCGGATTTTTTCCTAGGACCTACCGATCAATTTCCTTAACTGAAATCTAAAAGTTCGTCATCTGTCTAGATATCACTTTCATTTTGATTCTGTGACCTAACTAGGCGGTTTTTCGACCCAAAAAAGTCAATGGTGAAAACAGAATTGAGCTATCTTTGCTCTGAAAAAAGTTCGGATTTTTTCCTAGGACCTACCGATCAATTTCCTTAACTGAAATCTAAAAGTTCGTCATCTGTCTAGATATCACTTTCATTTTGATTCTGTGACCTAGCTAGGCGGTTTTTCGACCCAAAAAAGTCAATGGTGAAAACAGAATTGAGCTATCTTTGCTCTGAAAAAAGTTCGGATTTTTTCCTAGGAGCTATCGATCAATTTCCTTAACTGAAATCTAAATGTTTGTCATCTGTCTAGATATCACTTCCATTTTGATTCTGTGACCTAACTAGGCGGTTTTTCGACCCAAAAAAGTCAATGGTGAAAACAGAATTGAGCTATCTTTGCTCTGAAAAAAGTTCGGATTTTTTCCTAGGACCTACCGATCAATTTCCTTAACTGAAATCTAAATGTTTGTCATCTGTCTAGATATCACTTCCATTTTGATTCTGTGACCTAACTAGGCGGTTTTTCGACCCAAAAAAGTCAATGGTGAAAACAGAATTGAGCTATCTTTGCTCTGAAAAAAGTTCGGATTTTTTCCTAGGACCTACCGATCAATTTCCTTAACTGAAATCTAAATGTTTGTCATCTGTCTAGATATCACTTCCATTTTGATTCTGTGACCTAACTAGGCGGTTTTTCGACCCAAAAAAGTCAATGGTGAAAACAGATTTGAGCTATCTTTGCTCTGAAAAAAGTTCGGATTTTTTCCTAGGACCTACCGATCAATTTCCTTAACTGAAATCTAAATGTTCGTCATATGTCTAGATATCACTTCCATTTTGATTCTGTGACCTAACTGGGCGGTTTTTCGACCCAAAAAAGTCAATGGTGAAAACAGAATTGAGCTATCTTTGCTCTGAAAAAAGTTCGGATTTTTTCCTAGGACCTACCGGTCAATTTCCTTAACTGAAATCTAAAAGTTCGTCATCTGTCTAGATATCACTTTCATTTTGATTCTGTGACCTAACTAGGCGGTTTTTCGACCCAAAAAAGTCAATGGTGAAAACAGAATTGAGCTATCTTTGCTCTGAAAAAAGTTCGATTTTTTTCCTAGGACCTACTGATCAATTTCCTTAACTGAAATCTAAAAGTTCGTCATCTGTCTAGATATCACTTCCATTTTGATTCTGTGTCCTAACTAGGCGGTTTTTCGACCCAAAAAAGTCAATGGTGAAAACAGAATTGAGCTATTTTTGCTCTGAAAAAAGTTCGGATTTTTTCCTAGGACCTACTGATCAATTTCCTTAACTGAAATCTAAAAGTTCGTCATCTGTCTAGATATCACTTCCATTTTGATTCTGTGTCCTAACTAGGCGGTTTTTCGACCCAAAAATGTCAATGGTGAAAACAGAATTGAGCTATCTTTGCTCTGAAAAAAGTTCGGATTTTTTCCTAGGACCTACCGATCAATTTCCTTAACTGAAATCCAAATGTTTGTCATCTTCCATTTCGGTTCAGTGACCTAATTAGGCGGTTTTTCGACCCAAAAAAGTCAATGGTGAAAACAGAATTGATCTATCTTCGCTCTGAAGAAAGTTCGGATTTTTTCCTAGGACCTACCGATCAATTTCCTTTACTGAAATCTAAATGTTCGTCATCTGTCTAGATATCACTTCCATTTTGATTCTGTGTCCTAACTAGGCGGTTTTTCGACCCAAAAAAGTCAATGGTGAAAACAGAATTGAGCTATTTTTGCTCTGAAAAAAGTTCGGATTTTTTCCTAGGACCTACTGATCAATTTCCTTAACTGAAATCTAAAAGTTCGTCATCTGTCTAGATATCACTTCCATTTTGATTCTGTGCCCTAACTAGGCGGTTTTTCGACCCAAAAAAGTCGATGGTGGAAACAGAATTGAGCTATTTCTGCTCTGAAAAAAGTTCGGATTTTTTCTTAGGACCTACTGATCAATTTCCTTAACTGAAATCTAAAAGTTCGTCATCTGTCTAGATATCACTTCCATTTTGATTCTGTGTCCTAATTAGGCGGTTTTTCGACCCAAAAAAGTCAATGGTGAAAACAGAATTGAGCTATTTTTGCTCTGAAAAAAGTTTGGATTTCTTCCTAGGACCTACTGATCAATTTCCTTAACTGAAATCTAAATGTTCGTCATCTGTCTAGATATCGCTTCCATTTTGGTTCTGTGACCTAATTAGGCGGTTTTTCGACCCAAAAAAGTCAATAGTGAAAACAGAATTGATCTATCTTTGCTCTGAAAAAAGTTCGATTTTTTTCCTAGGACCTACCGATCAATTCCCTTGATTGAAATCTATGTTTGTCATCTGTCTAGATATCGTTTCCATTTTGGTTCTGTGACCTAGATAGGCAGTTTTTCGACCCAAAAAAGTCAATGGTGAAGACAGAATTGAGCTATTTTTGCTCTGAAAAAAGTTCGGATTTTTTCCTAGGACCTACTGATCAATTTCCTTAACTGAAATCTAAATGTTCGTCATCTGTCTAGATATCAGTTCCATTTTGATTCTGTGTCCTAACTAGGCGGTTTTTCGACCCAAAAGAGTCAATGGTGAAGACAGAATTGATCTATTTTTGCTCTGAAAAAAGTTTGAATTTTTTCCTAGGACCTACTGATCAATTTCCTTAACTGAAATCTAAATGTTCGTCATCTGTCTAGATATCACTTCCATTTTAATTCTGTGACCTAATTAGGCGGTTTTTCGACCCAAAAAAGTCAATGGTGAAAACAGAATTGAGCTATCTTTGCTCTGAAAAAAGTTGGAATTCTTTCCTAGGACCTACTGATCAATTTCCTTAACTGAAATCTAAATGTTCGTCATCTGTCTAGATATCACTTCCATTTTGATTCTGTGACCTAACTAGGCGGTTTTTCGACCCAAAAAAGTCAATGGTGAAAACAGAATTGAGCTATGTTTGCTCTGAAAAAAGTTTGAATATTTTCCTAGGACCTACTGGTCAATGTCCTCAACTGTAATCTAAATGTTCGTCATCTGTCTAGATATCACTTCCATTTCGGTTCTGTGACCTAACTAGGCAGTTTTTCGACCCAAAAAAGTCAATGGTGAAAACAGAATTGATCTATCTTTGCTCTGAAAAATGTTTGAATTTTTTCCTAGGACCTACTGATCAATGTCCTTAACTGTAATCTAAATGTTCGTGATCTGTCTAGATATCGCTTCCATTTCGGTTTTGTGACCTAATGGGCAGTTTTTCGATCCAAAATAGTCAATGGTGAAAACAGAATTAAGCTATCTTTGCTCTGAAAAAAGTTCGAATATCACACCAAACATTTTCGATCAATTCAAAGGAATTTCAACAACACTAAGATGATTTAGTTGAAAATGATGGTTGTTTGTGATGAAACGTAATAACTAACGTTTAGTAACAACATGTGTATTTGTACATTTCGAATTTGCAAGTATACCTACATGATATTATAAGGTAAACTGTTGATAATAGTTATTTATTACACATGGGAAAAAAGTAGTAGTAAAACCGTGAGCTAAAATCTAATATTTTTCTCGTGTATAATACACTATTTTTTTCTGTGACAGAAGAAAGGACGAATCAATATTGAGAAGATAGTACATTATTTTGAAATCTGAAAATTATCGACGTGAAATTTCAAGTTTTCAACAGTAGGGACACCTGCGTTGTAGGCATCTGCATCATTCTTTCGAAGTAATCAAATATCTTATGTCACTCCTGTCAGCCTAATTCTGTGGTTTGATTTCAAAAAATTGCGAATCTAGTGGTTGTTTAGTAATATACGTAACCACGAAGTCGAATGGAAGATAAAAGGACTTGCAGTTCTTTCTAGCCAGAGACGGTATTATTGACTCATTTTTCGGAACTATAGCACAACAAAAGCCATCAACAGTGTATATATATTATGTGATATATATCCGGGAAAAAAGTACAAAGTATAAGTACAAAAAAGTACAATTTATGAAAAGTTACATTTTATAACCTGCCAACAAAAATGAAATGCCAAACTTTTTCCCGTCACAGATGAAATTTTTTTTGTGATATAAGCCCATTATGATGCTGACTTGATGAATGACACTGTAGTTATAACAATGACAGACAGACCGAAAAATCACACCAACAAATCTCGTGTTTCCAGGTCTTTCGGCGGCAGAGGCGGCGGCGGCTCCTTCCGCGGTGGCTCAGACCGCAACTCCTTCGGAGGCGGTGGAAGAGGCGGCGGCAGCAGCTTCCGAAGCGGCGGCGGAGGTGGAGGCAGGGGGGGCGGGGGCTTCAGAGGCGACTCGGGCGGCTTCGGGGGCGGGTCGCGGGGCGGCAGGGACGGATTCCGGAGCGGCGGAGGCGGGGACAGGTTCGGGGGCGGTGGGGGTGGTGGTGGAAGGTTTGGGGGTCGCGGGGGCGGCGGGGGCAGGCAGGGGGAGCGGCTGTACAAGCCGCAGTGGGCTAATATACAGCTGCATCCGTTGAAGAAGGATTTCTATGTGCCGCATCCGGCTGTGGCTAATAGGTGATTTTTTTTGGTATAGCTAGCTATACAGGGTGTCCAAGATAGGGATGATTATCATGGGGTTGGAGATGGTCGAATCGGAGAAAAGCTGTGCATTTTAGAGCCTAGCAATATACCGTTCAGAAAGTTTCAAAATTCCAAGTAGTTCCGGAGTATAGGATTTTATAAGGTAGTTTGTAGTCGTTTGTTGACGGTAGACAGGAACCTGTCACGTTTTAGTTTTGGATGGAAAAGCAGGAAATCAGGAGGGAATAGAGAGAAGGGTTAGGTTAGAGTAAGAAGTTTTGAGGGTGATGTTATGGATTATTTTGAGATAAAAATGAAATAGTTATGTGCCCACAAATGTTTATTTAAATCATTATTGGCCTAAGACCACCTATGGGAGATATGCCAAAAAAACGGAAAGAAACCGACATTATTCTGAGAGATAGAGGAAAACAAAAGACACTTCCACAATGTCACTTTTTGAGCTTTACAAAACGGCGTTGAGAGATTTTCCTTATGACGTGTCATTTCAGTGAATTTTATTTTTTCAAATGGCCTGTGAAAAATTGTACCCTGTATAAAATCTCACAACGCAGTTTTGTTGAACTTGAAAAGTTGCAATGGGAAAGTGACTTTTGTTTTCCTATATCTCTTTGATTAACGTCAGAAAAAGAAGAAAACGAAATCGAAAAATGTCTGTTTTTAAGGCATATCACCCTAACCACTGGGAATTTCAGAACTTTCTGAACAGCATATTGTGAGGCTTGAAAATGCACAACTCTTCTCTAATTTAACCATCTTCATATCTCTCATGGTTTCCTGAAATCCCCATGTTAGACATCCTTATCTTGGAGACGGTGTATAAAAAAATCTAATATCTTTTTATTAAATCGTGATTTTTCTCATTCATACTGATTTTTTCCTTGAATATGGGAATAATGGACTTTGAAGTCACTTATTCTCAATAAATTTATCTATTTGCTTAAAATATTTGCTGTTGATTTTCAGATAGAAAATTTCCTCGGCAACATACAAGATTTTGACATAAAAATTTTCGGCAGCGTGCCGCGAGGTTCATGTTGTGACAAGAAAATTCAATAATCTTTATAATATACCAGTGATTTTCCTTGGACTGAATCATTTCAATCTACTGATCAAGTTATCTACTTCAACTTGTTTTCCCAGCAATTTATGATTTGATTCAAATCACAATTAAAATTGAAAAAATCAATTGATTTATTTATTTACCTATTAGTACCAAACTTGTGTATTACAAATCTTATTTCAATGAACATTCATTATTATTATTATTATTATTATTATTATTATAGATCACCCTATGAGGTGGAGCAGTATCGCAGGTCCAAGGAGATTACTGTGGAAGGGAACAATGTGCCCAATCCTATTCAGAATTTCAGTGAGGCTTGCTTTCCTGACTATGTTATGAGAGAAATCCAGAATCAAGGTTGGTATTTAGTGAAAAAAACAATCTGATCTGTTTCCTGAAAATACCAAGTGTTTATGTTTGATTTGAAGAAGAAAAAGGCTTGCAATGTTCAAACTTTGACATCAAAGATATATTTGACATCAGTTTATAAACCACTATTTATTGTCTATTTTAAAGTTCAGCTAACTACAAAAGCGTGTTTTTTACTGTTCTTATATTTGTTGTAAGTACCCAATTTTGACGAAAGTAACATAAAGAGTTAGGGTTCGAGAAATGAAGTAACCTCAGTAAAAAAAGTATACAAAGAAATATAATAGGATATCAACAAATTATCTATCTACAACTACATAGGTACGAAATCGCAATGATTTTATAAGCCTCGATAAAAGTTTCACCACCCAAAATCTCCAAAACCACTTCAGTCATTCAATATCAAAAGGTCCATAAATACCTGGATATCACCCAATGTATCTCTAACGAGGTGAGTCTTTGTGCAACAACACAGCTTTCACATCTACTACTCAGATCTTCAAATAGACTATTCAGCAGTTCCTGTGAACTGGTGTCAGGAACTTTAACTTAGCAACTTTTGCTTCCAAACTATCGTTCCTCCATACAGAGCCGTCTTTTGTATTTTCTTCTGAGCGTTGGCGTTTACTGCAGTGGCGGCTCGTGACTTTCATGACAGAGGAGGCTGAATGATATGAGATTTATTGTGAAAAACAACTCTCTACTCACCCAAATCAATAGCTTTAATGGCATTTTGTCTACCAGTTAACCTGAACTTAATACTTGAAGAGATGTGTTCCTGTGATTCGCAGTGTCTATCCAATCCGCGAGCCAAATTTTTCAAATCATTATATCCTAATCGCCCCCAACATGATAACTTATCGGTTGAAAATAATACGCAGTTCCAACAAAATAGCTTATTCCTTACCTCAGATCCCGTCAGCCAGAGATTTTTTAATTCCGGTGTCGGACGTTTGTTTTTCACAATAAATTTATCTTCATAAGACAAAGCACTGAATGGGTTCACCAAGAAGTATTCCACTAAATCGCAATCGTTTAAAACACTAATTTTTTCGGAAATTTATAGAGCCCCTAACCATTAACCCAACATAAACATAAACAATGCCCGCAATTCGCTACACGACAAACACGTGCTATTCGGGCATTTGCATTGCGCGAGTGGGTTGCGAAGGAGTCTAGCCTCCTATAGATGTTGCCAAGTTGAATATTTTACGCGTGATTTGCAGACTTCAACGTGTGATGCGTGGGCAAGCACTGTTGCCAATTCACAAATATTTACCTAAAAACAGGAAATAAAATCAAAATCCATGTATTTCGGTGTCCTTTTGATGAGAAAGTATAGATAATATCAGTTCAAGGAAAATCTCTGAGGAGGCTCAGCCTCCGTTGCCTCCTCTGAGGAGCCGCCACTGGTTTACTGGCTCTTCTTTACAGGACGGCCGCCAGTACCCAACTGCCTCTCCTCAACTCCTAACCTCACTTAGGCACCTTCCGCATCCCGCGCTCAGCTTCGTGCTCGCCGGTATAATATCCTTTATCTGCCATCCCTTTTTATTGGTCTGACAGAGAATCCTAATGGAACCAGGGTTGGCACGAATTAATTCATATGAATTAAGTCAGTGATTTAATTCGTGAATTAATTCAGATGACTTTTTTCAAATAAGTCGTGAATTCATTCAAAATGTATCAAATGAGAACAAATCGCATTATCACCTTCAATTTAAACTAGTTTAAAATGAAATTTTCAATGGCATCTGACAACTGACAACCGTGAAGCACCACACGCGGAAAACAAAATTTTTTAAGAGCCGCTTTACAGTTTGCAATATTTCATTGCATGCAATTGATTGCTCTAATTCATATTTCCGGCAAAGATAATATGCAGGCTTTTCAACGCTGAATCGGAATTACCGGCTTGCAATGTCTTTTTGTCATAGATTCTGTGTATTACTTCTCACCGAGTTTTGAGTTGGGTCAAGAGTTGGGTAGAAGAAGAAGAAACTATGAGAAAGGCAAGCAAAGTAAGATCCAATGTGTATCTAATGATTCCGAAAATCTAACATGTCACCACTAGAATTGCACCAGTAATACAAATTACCAGAATATAAATAAATATGTCCGGACTCATTTCTTGCAATGCATCGAAAAATTGCTTTCCAAGGTGACACCAATCCGTAAGCGGGCCATGGATATTGCTGCATTTTATTGAAAATAACTGTAAAGCGCCTCTATAATGAAGATTGTGAATGAGTAATATAATATGCATAAACATAATTTTGTCATTCAATCAATAGTCTCAGTTTATATTGCAAAAATTGCATATTTTAAGTATTTTATTGTCACGCTTTGAGATTTTTAACGGAAATTAAAACTTAGTTTTTTCGATGTTATTGTATTTTGTTCAAGTAAATAGAATTTGATTTGTTCTCAAATGAATTGAATCAAAAAAGTCCGAATTATTTCAAAAAGTCAGACTTTTTTGACTTTTTTATAAAACTCATGACTTATTCCAACCCTGAATGGAACACTGGCGAATATTGCGATCAGTGGCTCACCACAACTTTGAGCTTTTTGTATTTATTCAATAAAAGCATGTTGAAAAAATGAGTCTACTCGCCTATTCCGGAATGATTAATGACATTTTTCAAGGTTATGACGCCCCCACTGCCATCCAAGCGCAGGGCTGGCCCATAGCCCTCAGCGGCATGGACATGGTCGGCATCGCCAAAACCGGCTCCGGGAAAACCTTGGCCTACATCCTGCCGGCCATCGTGCACATCAACAATCAGCCGCCCATCGGTCGAGGCGAGGGTCCCATCGCTCTGGTTCTAGCTCCCACTCGGGAGTTGGCGCAGCAGATCCAGCAGGTGGCCATCGATTTCGGGAGCTCGTCTTACGTGCGGAATACTTGTATTTTCGGGGGAGCGCCCAAAGGGCCGCAGGCTCGCGATTTGGAAAGGTGAGGGTTTGTTTGTGTGTGTGGTAGAGGGAGGGATCGTCTCGTTTTTTATTCCAGAATGTTCCAGAACATTCTGAAACATTTATGGGTTATTTGGGAACGTTACTGAAGTTTTTAGAATGTTACTGAAGTTTTTAGAATGTTCCGTCGGGATTTTTTTTTATTATTTATTTACGGAAAACCCCATTACAAAAAAATTTCAAAACCCTTCAAAATATAGATCTGACAAGTGTTCTGAAGCTATTCAATGATCCATGAAGAATGTCTAAATCGGTTTCGTTAATTATTTTCAATGTTCTTTCAATGGGTGAATGTTGTCCATAATTTGTAGCATGGTGAGTTATTCGAAAGAGGTTTGTATTTCTTAAAGTTCTGTTTGGCACATTGTATTTAATTAACTCCAACAACTTCGGACACACGACACACAATAAATCCATTTATTAATTTGAAGATGAGACATAAGTCGTTGGTTAATCTACGAGTCTGCATCTTCAGATCATCAAGTATTGAAGCGTAATCATGGTTATGTATGGTTGTATTAAGTTTATATGCACAAAATCTTGAGAATTTGTTCTGAGTGCGTTCTAATGTATAATTATGTACTTGATAGAATGGTGACCAGACAATTGAGGCATAATCTAGGTGAGAAACTACCAGCGACATATACAACATCCTAACTGTATGGACAGAGAAAATGTTACAGTTTCTAAGAATGCACCCCAAAATCTTCGAAGACTTGATTGCTACATTATTAATGTGTTCCACAAAACTCATATTTTGTTCAAAAACCACTCCTAAGTCCCTCACTGATGACACAGATAAAAGTTCTTTATCTTTAATGTAATAAGAAGATTCATATTTCTTTTTTATTTTGTAGAAGCTAATAAAAGTACATTTTTCAATATTTAGATATAGTTTATTTTTATCACACCAATTAATTAACCTATTTAGGTCTTCTTGTAGACTTTTTTCATCCATATGTGAGTTAACAGGTCCATACAGTTTTAAATCATCAGCAAACAATAGATATTTACTATATATGAAGCAGTCGCCGATATCATTAATGAATAGGTTGAATAATAGTGGAGAACAATGTGAACCCTGTGGAACCCCAGATGTCACATCAATATCGTTTGATAGATCCAACTTTAACTTTCTGTTTGCGACCAGATATAAAGCTCTTTAGCCAATTCAATAGAGTTTCATTAAAACCAATATTTTTTAATTTAAGCAATAATAAATTGTGATCTACCCTATCAAATGCTTTGCTGAAATCTGTATAAATTGAATCTAATTGCATTTTCTGTTCCAGAGTTGATATGATATCATTGTTATAAATTAACAGATTTGTTACTGTGGATCTTTTAGACATTAAACCGTGCTGATTGTCATTAATGATCTCTTTACACAAAAAACTGATTTGGTCAAACACTAAGCTATCAAACAAATTGCTGTAATAAACAGATTCATTGAAATTTCGTTCTAAAATAATCTTGAAATTTCTGTAAGAGTTCCCTGTATAAACTTTAGTGGATCGATATCGCTATGTGATGACGGATAATTTATTATTGTAATATCAGTCATTTTTGGTGACAGATTGAAAAACTGTAGATAATATAATGAATACGTTTATAAATCGGCTATTATCTACATTTCTAAACCTTTCTTGATATTTTTAGAATATGAACACAATGTAACAGATAAGCTGGTTAATCTTTTTCACCTTTTGGAACATTCTAGATGAAATTTTTGGAACTAATACTGACGTTTTTAGAATGTTCTCTCTGGTAATTTCTAGAATAATTGGATTCATGGTCATTAAAGAACGTTCTCCATGTAATTTAGAACATTTGAAAGCATTTCAAATCATTAGAAAGCATTTGAAAACATAAAATTATCCAGTCTTGATATTTCTATAACATTCATTGCCATTATAGAATATTCATGGCACATTTGAGGCCATTATAGAGCATTCATGAAATGTCCAGATCATTCTTAAAATTTTTAGAACCTGGTTAAATTCCTGCAATCCGAAATATTTTACTACTTTATAGAAAAGTGCCGATATATTGAAAATATTCTTGAAAGTGTTTAGGACGTTTCTGAATTTGCTGAGAACATTATAAAATAATCCTGATGAAAATTCTAACCCTTCCAATTTGGCATGCCTTCGCCTCGATTTCGGCTGAGCATGAGTGCTTTTGGAAGGGAGATTAATTTTGGGAAATGGGGGAGACCACTGATTTTTTGAAACGACATCACACTGAACTCTATGCTGGAAAACTACCAGTGAATTAATTTTGAAATATTTCATTCATGTTAGGACGATGAAAAAAATAAATGAGAATATGACTATTTCAAAACAAGCAATACCTGCGCCATTTGAAATGGTGTCAATTGATTGGTGTGACTGGTGCGACGTATCAGTCCCAACACGCCTATTGTCCTTGAGCTGACCAATCACACTGCAACACTGCAGAATGGCGAGGTATCAGATAGAGATAGCTACAGTCGGGACTAATACGTCACGGCTCCACCTTCATATTTGGCTTTTGGAAATAGCGAATGAAATATGCTGATTTCAAAACGCTATAGATTCGATTCCCTTTAACTTCAATTCATAATATTGATTGTACATCAAACGTAAATCATGATTCGTCGATTGAAAGAGGTTTGCACGGATTTCTTCCATCAGTGGTCTTCCCCATTATGCCTTCGGTGTCCACACTTTTCTTGTCTGGATCCCATCCTCAGCTTTCCCAACATTTTTCCAACAAAAACAAATCACTGTGATGTGTCATTATTTGTTTTCTTTGAAAAAATCGCTATGATTTTCATCCAGTCAATGGTTTTTTGTATTTTTATATGCTCTTGTTGAAAAACTTTTGAAAATATAATCAGTCCTACACCTTGATATCTTCTGATCCAAGCCAAATGCCGTAATGACCGCGTTTCCTCTTGAATTTCCAGGGGTGTGGAGATTTGCATCGCCACCCCAGGACGTCTTATTGACTTCCTTGAAAAGGGCACCACCAATCTGGAACGGTGCACCTACCTAGTGTTAGACGAGGCCGATAGAATGTTGGACATGGGTTTCGAGCCCCAAATTAGAAAGATTCTGGAGCAGATCCGGCCTGACAGACAGACGCTTATGTGGTCCGCCACATGGCCAAAAGAAGTGAGAAAGTTGGCGTCCGACTTTCTGAACGAGTTTATTCAGATTAATATTGGGTCGCTGCAGCTATCAGCTAATCATAACATCCTGCAAATCGTGGATGTTTGTCAAGAGCACGAAAAAGAATACAAGTAAGTCATGCGTTTTACTTTCATCCAAACGTGGTTGGCGCAGTCGGTAGGATTCGTTAGAAACACTGCTTTTTAACCTTGGGAACATTTTATCTTGAAGACTACTATTAATTATTGACTTCTATTATTCACACTAACAAAAAGAACCACCCTTATGAGAGCAATGAAGCAAGACATTTTATTCAGTAGGTGGCGGTATCTATGATTGACAAGGCGAACTACTTTTTGTTTAGTGGCGAAGGGTATAGCTTGGTAATGCAGGATATATTTTTATGCAAGAAAATATTTTCAACTAATAGTCAGAATATCAATATCCATTGATCATAAACAATACCTGAGATTGTTTCAGTTAGGCGAACTTAAAATGGTCGTTTAGAGTATGGTAACACCCACTTGGCTTTGGAGTGAATTTTGAGTTGCCCCAATCATTTTACAGATAGACTGCACATATTAGAGCCTGGCTAATGAATCCTTTTATTAACTTGGTGTCGGAATTGTGCAAAATAAATGTGGAATTTGAGTGTTATAGTTACTCCCAAGTAGTCTTTTACCCGACCCTTTCAAACTCAAATTCCCACAATTTGATAATGTTCTTCAATCCCATATTTATTCTTCAAAATTTACCTACAAGGTGAAATATTCGGACCATTGAAAGTACTCTCCATGAACTAATTCATTAATCTTGAGCTGTACCTGAAGTAGAGGTTAGTTTAGGCGAGCTCAAACCATTGAGCTGCACTTATCATTTGAGTCCTACTAGAATTTGATGTTTTTCTTATTGGCGCAGTCGGTAGGACTCTCTACAAACATAACTTGTGACCCTAAAATAGAGATAGATGTATTTATTGAATTGAATTGAAATCATGATGAAAAATTAAATTGTAAACAAAATTATAGCTTAAAAACATAAATACAAATGGAAATGTTTGAAATAAATAGCAAATTCCGCTTTAGGAAGTAGTAACTTGAATTCTACTGAAATTGGCGCAGTCGATAGGACTTTGCTCACGGTATATCGGTCTTTCAGGCTGAATCAGTTGTTATGAAACGAGGATAGACATTGTCAATAGAATTGAAATCATGATGAAAAGTGAAATTGTAAACAAAATTATAGCTTAAAAACATATAAATACAAATGGAAATGTTTGAAATAAATAGCATATTCCGCTATAGGAAGTAGTAACTCGAATTCTACCGAAATTGGCGCAGTCGATAGGACTTTGCTCACGGTATATCGGTCTTACAGGCTGAATCAGTTGTTGCAAGAGGTCGGCAACAACGCCGAGCCCGGCTCAAAGATCCTCATTTTCGTCGAAACCAAAAAGAAAGTGGAAACTATTACGAGGAACATCAGAAGATACGGTTGGGGCGCCGTTTGTATGCATGGAGACAAGAGCCAGCAAGAGCGTGATTACGTTCTCAATGAGTTCAGACACGGGAAATCGACTATTTTGGTGGCTACTGACGTGGCTGCCAGAGGATTAGGTAAGTAGCTGGTGGAAGGAGTCCTGGGAAACAATTGTTTTTCGTCGACCTCTACAAAAAATCGCATTTTACGTTTCAATTTCCGAACGGAAAACCGGCTATTTCTCTGAAGGCAAGTACTTTTCGACCGCAGACACTAACTTTTCGTTCATAAACATTTTTTGTCTGCTGCAGGGTTGTCAGTTCTACTGAATTTTCAGTAGATCTCCTAATTTGCATATTGATCTACAGATCTAGTGAAACATGATGTGGATTTGAGTGTTTGGGGTCGACGAAAAAATTTAATATACACCTCGGCGCAAAACTGTTTTGTCTCGCCTGATTGCTAGCCACGGCTAAGGCATCTAAAAAAAATTTGCAGACTCGACTATGAAAAACAGTTTTTCATCCTTGGTACATAAATAACTATTTTAGTCTCGGCTGAAAATCGCTAAAAATCGTCTTATGATTCGAGCTTATTCGGGTTTTGTGGCAACAAATTATCATTAGTGTTTTTGGTCAGCGGAAAATCGACTGAAAACGAAAACTCTCGCGTCATGAGAGAGCAATTATTGAGTGAAAAAACGACTTGACTAAAACTTCTAAAGGAATCGAACCATGCTTAGAAAATTTTCAATTGATACACGATTGCCTATAGTAGCATTTTCGGGATTTCCAGACTGGTTGGACTTTCATCATGGAAAATTGTTTTCAATGGAAAATTGACTAGCCTGTTGCTAATAAGTGTAGAAGAAGAATCAAATTATGGAAAACTAATTCTTTGTATATAGGTTACTGAATTTTTTGTGGGAACTGTGCTTCAACAAGGAAAATTCTTGACATTTCTTTGCACCTATTAATTGAATTGAATGCTTCGTCCAACAATTCAAAAATACCCATTAAATGATTCCAGGAATTAGTGTAAATTTGTAGGAGTAGGCGAGAACACTAATTCTTAAAAAAATACCATGGCCTTAATAACAATGGGAAGAAGCAAATAGAATTCGTTGGAATTTTTTGTTTCTACAAGTTTTCTCAAAATAAATTCCCAAAGAAATGCTTCAGTCTGAATAGGAAGAAGAAACCGCCAGTGATACTGACGTCACAAGTCCCAAAACGAACCGGCCGTTTTTTGGTGGACGAGAATAATCGATAAACAGTGTTGCCGTCTCAGTTGATTCATTTAGCTGCTTGAAAATTCGTATCTTCGTTCTCAAATTGTAACTGATTTCAACATTAATTCTGCGATGCCGTGGATGAACGAAACATGACAGTTAGAAACTATTTTTTTTTTCTTGATTGTTTTTATAAACTGATCCGTGACATTATGATGAAGATATTAGAGTGATGACATCGGAATTCGGAGTCAATTGAAACGTCATCAGGTATACTAAAATATTGTGTTAGATCTTTATAAACCTCAGTATTGTTATCGTATTTGTTTACTTCATGTTTCCTTGAAATAAAACAGCTGGCAACACAGCAAGAGACATGGTAAAGGGCTTATGACGTCATAACTGGCTAGACAAGCGTTATAGCTCAACAAAACATGAAATTTTGAAGTATTGAATTGGTGTTTTTTAACTACCACATCATATCATGTCAAAAAAATGATGCATTCATGTTATTTAGTATGATTCAGTTATATTGCCTATTATCATGAATGTTTTTAGTTTTCTGCAGGTTTCATCTCACAAAATATGTTCCACAACAAAATTGCAAAAATTCTTTTCGGAACTTGATTCTTAGTGAAAATATAAAGGAGCCAATTAAACTGCTAAAAAACAGTTTGTTTCAATGTAATTCATGCTATATTGTACTTGTGAGTCATTTGGGGGAATTCAGCATCAGAAACAATCACCTAGAATTCAGGTTTTGTTAGCTATGGATGTTGAAGAAACTACAGAAAACGACCAGTGCTTGTTTTTAATTTTAAGGATTCGTTCATGAGTTATTAATCAGTCTGGGTTATCCTTTTTTGTTTCAGAGGCACATGCAGGATGAGCGTACATAGCATTCAACTGAAAACAAAATAAAAATAGCAAAGAGCAAACAAACTCATAAACAGTGCTAATGTTACGCCTTAGTTGTGTTCTTGTTGAAAAGGATGCAATTCTGTGTCTTGCGGTGCCTCTGGCGCTGTCTGCCATGAGGTGGCAGAAGACCGAGGGAAGATTTGATGTTTGGACGCATCAAAAATGGCACATGTTCAATTACAAACGCGAAGGGGGCACAATAAAGGGGGGGGGGCTCACTTTTCAGAGTTTTTTTTTTTTTTCAAACGAAACGATGGTCCCTTAGCACCATTCAGAAATATACAAATACCTAATTACCCACTAGATTGATATGCTCCAGTTCACAAAAGGTTTTTGTCTATTCTTTTTACATATTTCAATTGAGGAATAAAGATATGGGACTTATTTCCAATACCCTCCTATTGTCTGTTTTTAACATTCGTGAATCCGGAGATGATCCTAAACTTTCTTAACTTCACTATTTCAGTGGGATGGGTACATTTTGAATCTAGAAACATTCAAAAATTGATTTTTATCTCAAAACATTCCTCAATTTTTGAGGAATCTTCAGGCTAATGGAAAATTACCATAAATCGGTTCGATTATTTCCATGTAATTCAAAGTTCGTTGCCAAAAAAATGAGTAACTATAGTTAAATTTGAAAAACTTCACAAAAAAGAAAATTTATACAAAATTCTAAAATTAACATGTTTCACCAATAGTAGCTTCTTCAAGTGAAACACTGCACGATGAATTGACTCAACAGTTAATTATTTTTTGATACTTGGTATATCTGTTATATTTTGATATCCATGTGTACTGTAGTTATTGGTTTTTGACTTCACTATTGCTGACGAAAATAAATATCCATTGAAAAACCAGTCGGATTTAGAAATATGATTTGAATATTTCTCTCAAGCATAGAAGTATATTCTTCGACATGGTCCTTCGAGCCGGATAAGAACTAGAGTGGTAAAACAGTAAGTTGAAGTCTGAAAAAAATCGAGAAACGATATTTTTTCGTCCGGAATGTCAGTTACACCTGTGAGCAGGCTAGCTAACCCTTAATTTTGTGAAATATGCACAATATCTCCATTAAAATTTCTTGAAAGGAATGTTTGAAAATATTACCGTGAAAAACAGTTCAAGAAGTTTATCCTGACGTCAGAAACATTGATTAACATTACAGAACTCTCGACCTATTTCAGATCAGCAACAGAGGAATTAGCTTCATGTCTACATGAACAAGTCTTGAGAGTTTCTTATAATTTTATCGAAAATAATGAAGACAACTTCTGAATTCGAAAAATCAAGATTATACAAAGTGAACTGTGGTTATTGCCCTAAGGTATACATTGGACAGACAGGTAGAACGTTCAACCACCGCATTCAAGAACATCATATGAATTTGTTGAAAAAGAAAATGTGTAACCTACCTGATTTACCTTGTATAAAAGTTAGACAAATCAATTTTACATTAGTTTGTTGTACAGTATTTCACTTGAAGAAGCTACTGTGATACCTAGACATGTGTTTAGTTTTTTTTTAATCTTGTGGTTTGTGAAGTTTTCCACATTTGCTGTGGATTCTAACGAGTAAAATCGTCAAAAATGAAAAATGGTCAATAATTTATTGAAATGCAGTGAGTTGTCATATTTGGCATACTGAATCCTTCGAAAATATCCCCCCGTGCCCCCCTATGTGGGACCGCAGCCACTGTTCGGTGGTTCCTGGCGGTTCTTTGAACAAAAAAAAAACAGCTCGGCTTCATACCTAGATGATAGTCATCGTGGGACATTTCGCAAAATAAAAAATATGGCCGAGCTGCGAAACAGATGTCATTCAAATCGTTGGATTTGTCTTCCTGTTGGTCCTGCAGTGGTTCCAATCACGACGAAATAAAAAACGTTCGGGAATATTGAGTAGACAGAGTGTGGCCACTGCAGCAGCTGTCAAACATTGCTACTATAGAAGTTTACGCTCGTATGAAATGTCGACGTGGCATTCATGGTTAGTATTCTTGTTTTTATTTCGTTTGTTTTTTCATACGTTTTTGCGTTTGGTCTTATTTTTCATTTGAATGAATATTTTCTCTTGACAATATTGACCACCAATATATTTATTAGAAGTTTGAAATGATTTTTGAATTGGTGATATTTTCTTGTAGGTTGAAGTTGTGGGAATATAATCATGCTGCTAATTCCGGCTTTTGATATGCACTGCCTTGATTTTTCGTGAACACATTTGAAAAATCTTATTGTAAAATAAATCTTTCAGTTCACTCCCACAGGGGGAAATACTATATTGTTTAACGAGCACAGAATGAGTAATTTCTTACGATAATGAAGTTTGCAGCATGAGTCATTGGCGAATGCTGCAATCATTCGAGTAGGAAATCAGCATTCCTTGCAAGTTACACAATATAATTCTTCTACGGCTATAATAGATAACAGCGGCATTTTTGATTTCTTCGTGTTGTAGCCATCTGATTTCCTGTGAAGTAATGCTCATCTATTAGAGCTGTCATTGCTTGAAATTTGACATTCCATGGGCGATGAGTCATTGTGATATCAGATACGGAAATAAAATTGATGACATACAAACTACCTCATTGATGTATCGAATACAGTAAAACGAGAGAAATCTTGTGTTATAGTCGTAGAAAAGGAATATTACCCCCTGTGGTAGGTAGAATTTGGAATGATTTTATAAAGTACAGAAAATTTTCAAAAATCTCAGAATACCCCGAGGAGTGTACCCATCAAACTACGATTGCAAATTCTTCTACCGTTTTCCTGTGTTTCACTTCATAGTCATTCTGATTTCGTGCATAAATTTTGTATAAATACACCTTTTTGAGCATGGTTTTGTTCTTGGGAGAGAAGCAATTTGGAAAAAAACGATTGAAAACCCTCAAAAAAACAAATTTCCAAACCAATCAAATCTTCACCTTGATTTTTCCACAGAAATATAGGTTGGCATGATTTTTTTCCTTGGATGCTGGCCCTGTCACCGGCTACACCTCAGCCTCCTGGGCTTTTTGTGCATTCCAGTTTATTTTACAACGCCTATTCCGTAGCTCTAATTCCCTGCACCAGTCTGTACAGGTTCTTCACCGGTTGACTTCCGTATTCTTCGGGAGTCAGCCTAGACTGCCCAAATATTTCTTGTCTTTTTCGGTCCAATGCCTCGCATTCTGTTGATAAATGTTTCGCCGTTTCTGTCCCTTTACTGCATTGCCTAAAGAGAAGTTCTCCATTGTACAGTCCCGTTGTGGTTCTGACTTGGTTCCTACTCATCTCGAGTAGTTCTTCAGATTTATATTTTGACGGTTCTTTAATAAATACTTTCCCGTCAATCATGTGAGAGGCTTCAGTCCATCGCTCCTTACGTTTTCGCTTGATCCAGTTCCGTATGTAGCCTCGGGTAGCTGTTTTTGTAACCCCGAGTACGGGTTATGGGCCAATGTGTGGAGTTGATGAGCCGGTTCTTGCCAGTTCATCAGCTTTTCCGTTCCCTACGATGCCGCAATGTCCTGGAACCCATAACAGGGTAATTTTGTTATGTTCTGACAGGGCATTGAGTTCTTCTCTGCATTCCCGTACCAGTCTGGATGTCACTTTCGGGTTCGTGAGAGCTTTCAGTGACGCATATTTTGATCCGTGCATTGCCCACTTCCCTCATATTGTAAGATTTTGTACATTTCCGCTTGAAATACGGATGGGTTTATTCCCAATGAGATGCTCAGGTTGAGATGATAAAAAAAGAATGACTGTATAAGCATTGACTTACGTACCTTGGGAGAGGGGCAATTCGGGATACACTGTAGAAAATACCTCAAAAAAACAAATTTTCTAACCTATAAATTCTTCAACTTGATTTTCCCACAGAAAAATAAGCTGATGATAAAAATAGATTGACTGTATGAATATCGACTTACATACTCTGAGAGAGAAGCAGTTTGTAAATTTAGTGTCCACACAAAATCATAAATCGGACGCGAAATTTAGGAAGAAAATAATTTCAAACTTTAAGTAAAAATTTGGTGTTGTCAATTTTGCTGTTCAGTGCATTTCGATTTCAAATTTCAAATGGTCAACTAAAAAATATCCTTGCGATAATAATAGCTTCAGATGATTCTTTGATACTAACGAAATTCACGAATTTTTGTTCACATTGCTGACACTCTATTAAACAAATAATGTTGTTTGAGTCTTTCACCTTTTTTTATTCATTTTTCCATTCCAGTCTTCTCTAATATGATGAAATATATTCAGTTATTTGTAGTTGAGAAAATTGTATCACTTTATCACTACCTCAATTTTTTTAACGATTGGCACATGTTAGAGCTGAGATAATACAAACCTTATTAACTTGGTGTTGGAGTTGTGCAAAAATATAAAGAAATGCGAGTGTTTCCATTCAAATCTATATTCTGTGATTTGGTTCACTTTGCATTTCGACATTTACATAATAATTTTAATATTCAATTATTGAAGTAATCATTGGTTTGAACACATCACAATCAAAACTTCACTGTATTCTATCCTGAAGATGGCTCTTGGGGTCGAAACATACTCCAAATGGAACTAATTCATGGAATATTCTCGTAGTCCAAATAAAGTGATGCAATAGAATGAAAAGCGAGTCCATCGTTAATTTGATGTTGTTATGCAGATGTGGAAGGGATAAAATATGTGATTAATTACGACTATCCCAATTCCTCCGAGGATTACATACACAGGATAGGCAGAACGGGGCGTTCCGAGACTACTGGTACGTCTTACGCCTTCTTTACCCCGTCCAACTCTAGACAAGCCAGAGATCTGATGTCTGTTCTGAAGGAAGCAAATCAGGTGAGATTCTGTTGCCGATTCACCAGTTTTTTTTTTATTGGAAGATGGCACATATTAGAGCCTAGCTAATGAATCTTTTATTGACTTGGTGTCGGAATTGTGCAAAATTAATGTGGAATTTGAGTGTTACAGTTACTCCCAAGTAGTCTTTTACCCGACCCTTTTAAACTCAAATTCCTACAATCTATAGTTTGAAAAAACTAACGGTTTGAAAGAGAGTCAAATTTGAATGTGGCTTCAATAATTTTTAGTTGCAATTTTGCTGCATGTCAGTGCGTTTAATACGTTTTTGAAAATAGATTTGACTGAATTGGAATACAAATGTCGCATTTGAAAATCAATTTGACTGAATCGGAATACAAATAACTCATTCTGAAATTGAATTAATGTTAGGGAAGTTTCCTTCAGATGAATTTTCGTAAAATAAGGTCCAAGTCGTTTTTATTTTCAAAATAACGCATTTTATAATTTTCGCGGCGACAAACTGACTTATATTCTGAATCTAGTCTGCATATTGCTGATTATGACAAATATAGCTAATAAAAAAATAGAATAAGAAGACAACTTGGCGTCGTTGTTGATCATATCATGAAAAATAGCGATGATCAACTAACTAACGAAACAACTAGAAACTGTAGACAAAGGCTAACGAATAACTTGAGACAAAAAATCGACACAAGTAAAAGTGGTAAACAAAAACATACATAACCACAAAATCTTATCAGCTCTCGGTGTGCCTGTCAGTTTTTTTTGGCAACATCTCATAGTTTATCTTTATTAGTAGTCAAATGCATCCAGCAAAAAAGAGATTTATGAAAATTGTTCATAATACTCCACGATGTTTATGATATAATTTAATGTATTCAAAGAACAGTTTCAGGAAATCTAGACATATTGATCATATCGGCAACGTCATACTGACACATTCTATTTTAACAATGTATGAATGTGGCTTTTCAGATAGTACGTCATAGGAATGGTGAAGGAGCCAAGTGCCAAGTTTCTTTTCATTTATTTTTTTCTGAAGTTAGATTTGATATTACGAGGAAAATAGAAACTTCAATATTGGAAACTTCCCCATCAGAACCTCCATATAAAGGAAACTTTTCATATGAAAGAGAACTTTGAGTTGATTATGGAACCGACTGTAATTTTTGGAATACAATTGATGCATTTTGAAATTAAATTGACTAAATTCGGATACAAATGACGCATTTTAATACTGAATTCATTATTATCAATTGCATTTCATACTTTAGGAAACTAAACTGACTAAAATGGAATACAAATGACGCATTTTCAAATTGAAGTCATTATTATCAATTGCATTTCCTACTTGTTCGAACCAAAATTGACTAAAACGGAATACAAATACCACATTTTCAAATGGAATTCATTATTTTGAATTGCATTTACTTCTTTTTCGAACCGAAATTGACTAAAACGGAATACAAATGACGCATTTTCAAATTGAATTCATTATTATCAATTGCATTTCCTACTTGTTCGAACCAAAATTGACTAAAACGGAATACGAATCAGGCATTTTCAAATTGAATTCATTATTTTGAATTGCATTTACTACTTTTTCGAACCGAAATTGACTAAAACGGAATACAAATGACGCATTTTCAAATTGAATTCATTATTTTAAATTGCATTTCCTACTTTTTCTAATCAAAATTGACTAAAACGGAATACGAATGACGCATTTTCAAATGGAATTCATTATTTTGAATTGCATTTACCACTTTTTCGAACCGAAATTGACTGAACCGAAATTGACTGAAACGGAATACAAATGACGCATTTTTAAATTAAATTCAGTATTTTGAATTGCTTTTCCCACTTGTTCGAACCAAAATTGACTAAAACGGAATACAAATACCACATTTTCAAATGGAATTCATTATTTTGAATTGCATTTCCTACTTGTTCGAACCAAAATTGACTAAAACGGAATACAAATGACGCATTTTCAAATTGAATCGATAATTTTAGTGCACATGTGATTTCCTTAGGTGATCAACCCCAAACTGGCCGACATAGCGAACCGCCCGGCATTCGGAGGCGGGGGCGGCCGAAGCGGAGGCGGCCGGTTCGGTGGCGGCGGCGGCGACCGCGGTAGCAGAGGCCGCGGGGGTGGCGGCGGAGGCAGGGGCGGCTCGGGAGGTGGGCGCGGTGGCGGCGGAGGCCGAGGGGGCGGTTCGGGAGGCGGGTTCAGGGCGCGCGAGGGCGGCTCGGGCAGGCCGACGCGGTTCAGCGACGGGCCGGCTGCCGGGGTCAGAGGGTCCAACGGATACGGAGGTGAGTTTTGAGGGGGGAGTTTGGGGATATTTTGATGCATCACTTGCGAACAATCATGATTTTTGTGGAAAAAATTTAAAATCGGAAATCGTGATTGTCTTGCTTAATCTGTTTCAAGACCTATACTTTTTTTCAAAATATCAGTGAAATTGATCTAACTAGTAAAATACTATGTGTGCAGATGATAACAGTACTTTTATATGAAAGCAAGAAAGACTTGAAAATATTTCAAAAATGGCTCCACTCTAACCTTTTGTCGATAAATACTATTAAAACAGAATATATGATTGTTCACCAAAAAACTAACAAAAACATTTACTCCAATCTTGAAATAAAAAATGAAATCTTGAAACTAACTGACCAGATATAATATCTTGGTATTTGTTTTGATGACAGGTTGAAGTGGGACAAACATATTGATGTTTTGAAGAAAATATCTCCAATTATTGGTGCATTAAGTAGATGTCCAGAACAGTATTTTTTGACGAAGGTGGAAAACATTTGTTTGCAACTCCTGCGCGAAATACTTTCGGCTGCTACTATTAAAATCACTTATTCTCATTATTTTTCTTAGTTTGCCCCAAAAATATTTGAGATTCAAGATTCACAGTCAGGTTAGGTCAGGTCTCATCGGCGACATACAAAAAAACTTGTGTTGAAATGAGAATTTTCGGCAGCGTGCTGAGAGTTTTCCGTCGTAACAATAATGTATGAAAACACTGTCTTTTTTGATTTCCCTAATGAGTTATCTGCTTTGGCAACTTTTTTCTACAGCAATTTATAATTTGATTTCAATCACTAATAGAATTGAAAAAATCAGTTGATTTAAATCGTGATTTGAAATCAGTGTCGAGTATTTATTTCATCATAAATGTATTGCTGAGAAATTATTTGAAAAAAATGAACTTTCTGGAGGTTTCAATGTGAAAATCGACTAACCGGCAAAAAGAACGGGCCAGAAATAGTTAATAACGTTACAAGGCAGATAAGGTTGAGCCGAGGATTATAACAGGCTAATCCGTTATTTGCGTATCGGTCAAGACTTCGTAATCCCGCTGAAAGATCTCATTCTGAGGAAAGAACCAGCCACATACCTCGTAGATCTATAGGAAAATCCTGTTTTTATGGAACAGTGGAACAATCTTAACGGACGGAGACTGTTAGCATTACTTTTTCAATTGTCATCTGAATACCGTTAATCTTTAAGAAAAGCATGGAATTACGATAAAAATTTAGCCAAATTGATCGCCATGTGACTGTTTCAATCCTTGTCCGATTTTGGTGAAATATTAACCAAATTGCTGATTTATGTTGCAGAAAGTTAGCCTGAATTCTAGTTCTCAAGAAAAGATGATGGCTTCATCATTATACAGGAAAAGTTACTCTTTCACCCTTAACTTCTTAACGCCCTGTAGCAAAAGTGAATGGTTAAACTTAACTTCATCATGTTTTGGATTGAAGTGTGATCCCTTCAAGAGAAGATACAATCATTTCAAGAGAGTATGGCATTAATTCCGATAATACATGATGACCTAGTCATGCTATCGCCATCTAGTGGCCTTAGTTCTAATGTAGGACTAGGCGATCACGGTTTACTCTGTATGACGCTGTCATTTATAGTCAAGACGTGCAGACTCCTACGTCTATACAACGCTGCAAAGGGGTACTACAAGTAAACCACTCTGCTGTCCAGTTATCAGCAGAAACATGAATGTACAGGGTGGGTCAAATTGGACACTTTTAAAAGGATCATGTGTATTAATAATTCCGATAATACATGATGACCTAGTCATGCTATCGCCATCTAGTGGCCTTAGTTCTAATGTAGGACCAGGCGATCACGGCATACTCTGTATGACGCTGTCATTTATAGTCAAGACGTGCAGACTCCTACGTCTATACAACGCTGCAAAGAGGTACTACAAGTAAACCACTCTGCTGTCCAGTTGTCAGCAGAAACATGAATGTACAGGGTGGGTCAAATTGGACACTTTTAAAGGGACAGTCCTATTCTCGAACTAGATGGAAGAAAACTGATGTCGGTGCCTGACGGTCGATTCTCATGAAAAACTCAATGGTGAAATCCGCATATCGATATCTGTCTTCGTTTCGGAGTTAGAAGGTGTTTTTCGAAAATGGGCATTTTTGAAAAGTTGGCAAAAATTGTCTGTTCTTATGAAAATAACTGCAAAGCATTGATTTCGTGATGAAAATTGTTCTCGAAGCACTGAAATAGGCCTGCCTATATCTAGTTCAAGAATAAAACTTGTTCTTCTTGAAAGAAAAGTTCTATTATGCAACTAGGTATATGGTGACTGATTTCAGTGCCTGAGAATCAATTTTCATGACAAACACAATGCTTTGAAAATGTTTTCATAAAAACGAAGAATTTTTGACAAAAAAAGAATTTAAGCCACTTCAAAAATACACATTTTCGAAAAACACCTTGTAAATCTGAAATGCGGTTTTCACCTTTGAGTTTGTCATGTGAATGGGGGAGACCACTGATTTTTTAAAACGACATTATCGTGTACTCTAAACTGAAAAACTACCAGCGAATTAATTTTGAATTTTGTCATCCATGCTAGGACGATGATAAAAATAAATTAGAATATGTCTATTTCAAAACACACAATTCCTGCCCCATTCGAAATGGTGTCAATTCATTGGTGCGACTGGTGCGACGTATTAGTCCCAACACGCCTATTGTCCTTGAGCTGACCAATCACATTGCAATACTGCAGAATGACGAGGTATCAGAGAGAGATATCTACAGTTCGGGACTAATACGTCACGGCTCCACCATCATATTTGGCTTTTCGAAATAACGAATGAAATATGCTGATTTCAAAACGATATAGATTCGATTCCCTTCAACTTCAACTCATAATATTGATTGTACATCAAACGTAACTCATGATTCGTCGATTAAAAGAGGTTTGCACGGATTTCCTCTCTCAGTGGTCTTGAATGGAGATAGCACTTTCCCTTCGAAAGTGCCCAATTTGGCCCACCCTGTATATTTTCATCGTAATTTAACCAAAATCGAATAATTGAAAAAGTTACAGGGCGATCGATTTGGCTAAAAAATTTTTGACCGTTTGCCGGTGAGTGTATTTAGTTATTATTTTGTCTACTAATCAGCACATAATTAGAGCCAAGATGATGAATCCTTTATCAACTTGGTGTCGAAATTGTGCGAAATAATTCTAGAATTTGAGTGACACATTTTTCTGAAGTAATCTCTGTCAGAATATCAAACTCGAATTCTCACAGTTCCAAACGATGTATCCATCACATTATTTGGAATATTGAAAAAAACAAGTATATTGATTGTTTTTTTTTTGTTCCAGGATATTGAATGGAATTATAGAAATTACATTCTACTCAGTATTTTTCTTCCGATGCATTCCATGTGCATCTCGAGTTGCAGTTAATCAACAAAATGTGCCCTCTCCCTATATTATAGTTTATTGTCGGATTCTTTCATGTTTAAGAATAATTATAAAAGTTTTAACTGTGATGAGTTCAAGCTAATTGGAGAAGTTTTTTTTTATTTGTCGACTGTTCAAATAATACTTTAAATTAAATAAATAATTGTATTTATAGTACTTTTTCGTTTTATTTGGTGTTGGGATTGGCGGACGTAGAGGGAGATGCGGGTTCGAAAATATCTAATTAATTTTATTTCACAACAAACAAAAAAACATTAAACTTTGACAATCCAAGATAAAATGATAGGTACATAAATATTTTCATAAAATACAACCAAAACATCTTGCACAACAAGAAACAATAATGAGACTGGAAAAAAGAGAAATTCATGGCTGTCATAAAAAATGAAACCGAGAAAAAATCTCATTTCGCCCTATGACTCGAATTCAAAGGAAGAAAATTGAAGTGGGAGCTTGATAGAGACAACATATGTTATTCTTTCTTTAAATGATGAACCTTGATACTGACCTTTTTTCTTACTGAAGTTGAAATGGTCTTCTTTCACATTTTTACTCATTTCTAGTGTTGTGAATATGAATTTTTCATTATTTTACGTTGGAACCTTGGAAAACAAGTAAAGAAGGAGAAGACATTTTTTTCTCTTGCAAAGCTAACTGAACTTTTCTATTATAGTCATTTGTCACTTTTAACGCAAGTTTTGAATAAACAGTATGGAATCCTTCACTTTGCTCAAGTCATAATAACACTTGGTGAGATGAATCACTATTTCTAAAATAATTAATGGAATGAAATAGTAAAGCAGTGGGCAGTCGATAAATGGAACCAAAGTGTCAACACCCTTTAATATTTCGGAATAGAATAAACAACTCAAAAAACTTTTCAAAATGTATTAGGTAAGTACTCAAGGGCTCAGATGGACAGTAAATTGAGTTGGTTACGTCATTTCATGGCCTTCAGTGATGAAAATTACCTACGTCACAAAAATCAGGACCACATGAGGCCATGAAATGATGAATCAGACTCAATTCGTAGACCATCTGATTAGTCTCCAATGGGGGAGACCACTGATTTTTTAAAATGACATTATCGTGAACTCACTACTGAAAAACTACCAGCGAATTAATTTTGAATTTTGTCATTCATGCTAAGACGATGGAAAAAATAAATTAGAATATGTCCATTTCAAAACACACGATTCCTGCGCCATTTGAAATGGTGTCAATTGATTGGTGTGACTGGTGCGACGTATTAGTCCCAACACGCCTATTGTCCTTGAACTGACCAATCACACTGCAACACTGCAGAATGACGAGGTATCAGAGAGAGATAGCTACAGTTCGGGACTAATACGTCACGACTCCACCATCATATTTGGCTGTTTGAAATATCGAATGAAATATGCTGATTTCAAAACGATATAAATAATATATAAATATAAATCATGATTCGTCGATTGAAAGAGGTTTGCACGGATTTCTTCTCTCAGTGGTCTTCCCCATTGGTACATTTTGAAAAATTAATATCAAGGTTGAATCCTTCATTATACTCCGAAAGACGAGAGTTTTACACTCAGCGGGACAGACTTTATATAAAAGCAAATAATAATTGATGATAATTCATACCTGGATATTTAGTTTTATAGAAAATTGATAAATTATGCTCTGCTATAAACTTCTCAGGAAACTTTATAAGAAATGGAAGTTTCCTCAGAGATGATTCAGCTATAAAAAACAGGAACTTAATGAGCATGTGGAACAACTTCAAGGGGTAGTTTTCATGATACAAGATGTAATTTTCTTGGAAAATCCATTTTGTACTAACATCCCCAATTTTGTAAAAACTTGGCAGTTATTTGCAGTATTGAACAGCTTATTTTTTATCATAACCGGACCCATGTGTATGGTTATATCAACTTTTTGTCTTAAAATCACTCAAAAAAAATTCCCCTCGAAGTTTGACACATACTTGAATTAACACTCTTTCCACAGGCATTTTATTGAAGAACTTTCGCTGAAAATCTTGCCCTTATTTTCAAGGGAATATATTGTTGCATGCTGTTGAAATAAACATTTTTTTTAGTAAAAAATAATATATATATAATAGAACTTTAAAATTTTACGTTCAATTCCTTGAAACTCCTCGGTGGACTAGCAGTACACCAAATTCTATATTATATCTTCATAAATATAACTCTATGTTACCTAATAAAATTCAATAAATATACTCTAGTTAGCACATCATCAAATATTTTAAAATCTGATTATTAATTTCACAAAAATATGGCATTCAATAAATTCTCAAATACGCCAGAAGAACATCCATGGATATTCAATTATTTTTGGCTAACATAAAAGAGTATGAAAATAAGTTCAATGAACCAATTCTCACAAAATTTCAAAACCAGATTTACTCGTAAACTCTGCATTTTCAAATTTTGTATCAACCGAAAAATAACCAAGAATACCCAAAGACAAATTTAGCATGTTTAAAAACTCAAACAAATATCACAAAGAAACTTCAATTGTACAGGGTGGCCAGAAAAGAATAAGACAAGTGAAATAAAATCGATGCAACTTTCTTGCAAGAAAAATTCGCTATAAATAAACGTTGTAACCGTGAATTAATGTGTATGTACACCGGTGCCAAAGAACCAAACACAATATCGTCTTCATCTGCCCACCTTGTACGATTAATGAGATCAAAACTTTTAAAAAAAGACTAGGAATGCGAGAGAAGGACTAGCTTGAACGGAATGTTTACATAACCTTGCCGAGCACCGAGGGCTCCTCCTTCAAGAACGTGCTCGACCTCTGCATAGTAGGCTGTGGTTGCACCTCCACAGGCTTGACTGGCTGACATTTTGTACCTGTTAACAATTAGGAATTGACCATTATTCTTCTTCCACTCGGGAGAATTTTCGGAACATTCGTGTTCTCGAAAAAATTGCCATAAATAATTGAAGCTCTCGTGATAAGTGAAAATTCAACAGTGGGTTGTACTCGTTGAAATAATAAAAAAAAATTATATGAACATATATTTTTAAAGGCGTCGTTTTCAAGATGAAGGGTGTTGAAGGTAGGAGTCTGAATATTGTTTTTTGATGAAAAGTTCGAAACGGTTCGGGACAAATCAACAAAATTTCTCACAAATACTGAACTTTTTACGCTCCATACAAGATGGAACAGTGATCGTAGCACTCTTGTTTTGATTACAATCAAATATTATTGACCGAGTAATGTTATGATATTTCTGAACCGATTTAACTGGAAAACGGCGAAACGCATCAGCAATTATTCACAAGTGAGCTTTATCACGCAGGTACCCATGTTATTTTTAGATTTTGAACTACAAATCGAGAAAGAAATGCACATATAAACATATGAATCATTTTTTGAGTCACCAACCCCCAGATTTTTATTCCATCTTATAGAGAGTAATAAGTTTAGTATCAATGTGAAATTTTGTTGATTTATCTCAAACCGTTGCTTTCTTTTCAACAAAAATCAATAATCAGACTCGTATTTTCAACAACCTATATCTCGAAATCGACGTGTTTAAAAAAGTATATGTTGATATGAACTTTTTTCATCATTTAAACGAGTACAACACACTGTTGAATTTTCTGTATTATAAATCGGACCACCCTGTACATTCGAAATCAGAAGAAAGAGCTCTATCATTTAGGAGAATAAAATACAGGGTGTTCCATTTAAAAAACACGAGTTCATGTAACATTTTTAGGTTTACAATAGTTGCGTTTTATTTGTTCCATTCCGGCAGCGGTGGTGGGATCAGAATGACTTTTACAAATAAAACGAGAAACTTCATGACCTTGCATGAGAGAATTTACATAAGAGGTTTTTTCTGCAACCGACACAAAACTCGTTCATTTTGATACCAAAATTAGTTCTTGAATCGACGTTTCTATTACTGACACAAAAATAAGTATGTTGCTAGGCAACATATTTCGTTCCTAGGAGCTAAAGTTGAACTTTAGTTCCTAGGCGCTAAAGTTGAACTTTAGTTCCTAGGAGCTAAAGTTCAAATTTAGCTCCTGAAAAGGGTGTACTAGACGTCATCAAGAATAAACAACATTGTTACGGTTATTTGGGTTGGGACGTATACCTGATTTGTTTCCGATTTTGGCAGATTTGGCATTTCATACCCATGCTGGAGATATAAATACACATTATTATAGTTAAGTATTGAAATTATAAACATCTCAGTTAAGTATTTTTGTTTTCATCAGGGAAGCCTTCAAGATTCAAATACTTGCTTGATCTCTATTTCATTCATTATTCTCGGGATGGATAACTTGTTCTTGAATAATCACGCCAGGCTATAGTTTTTTGTCTCAAACAACGATATTGTTTACCTTCATTTGATCATCAAGTCAAACACAGTGGAGTATGGAAAGAAATAAATAATCGCTATTATTATTGTTGATATGCTCACTAACCTAACATTTTCCACGTCTTATTGTTCCTATACCTGGCACTGGCGCGGAATTTGCCATTAGAGCACCTGGTCCACTCTGTGGTTGTATTTATATTGAGACTACAATTCGAAGATCCTTGAAAATTGAATAAATCTGCTGTTGGGGCAGGTATAATATTCGCAAATTTTGCTTTCGCTCGGCTTCGCTACACGCTTCGCCTCGCAAATGCAAAATTCGCTTGTCAAACAAAGTGTCACTTTTGATCCAAACAAAACAATCTACTATTATTTGCATATGGAGGATCCAAATAATTTCAAAATCATAATATGAGAGTTAAGAATCTAGAAAGTGAAACAACTAATATTTGGAGCAGTGATTTTGGTGATTAAAGAAACTTCTCTGAGAATGAGCGAATTCATTTTATCTGGGAATGAACATATTATTAAACCTGTCTTACTTGAAAGAATCATGAACTAGTGAAACTCACGATGAAAATGTCTTTTTACATCTATTTACTTTCAAAAGATTTCGTTTTTCGTCAATGGAATTTTATATTTTGACACCTGTCAACAGTCATTCCACGTCATTCCTTGTAGTGAGACGGAATGAAAAGTAGCTTGCAAATAAAATGACACATTGAACTGATTCCGGTGGCGGAATCGGATAAATAAAACGCAACCTATGCCTTTTCTAGTACTAGATTCTGAATGCCCATAAAAAATACTCCATTCTACTAGTTTTCTCCTGTTCCGAGGAGGATCTATACCAACCTTTAGAGCTCCTCCTCGGAGCATCCTTCATGGGCGAAGGGCTCCGAAGGGCGGCCTTGACGGGTGACGTCACCCTGCTGTCCGTCTTCCTGGGCGAGGACAACCGCGAGTCGGTCTTCAGGGGCGAGCCGCAGCGACTGTCGGGCGGCTTGCGGGGGGCGGCCAGAGAGGCGGGGGCGTCCTTCTTGCCCATGCTGGGGTTGCGGGACACGGTCGTCGACGTCTTCTTCGATGGGACTGCACACACGAATAATGTTGCCGATAGTTCGAAGTCTCTTTTTGAAAATTTTATTCTTCCCATACGAGTACGATATAAAGACGAATTATGTTCCTACTGTTTATAGTCTAAGAGCCCGTGAACCTGTTATACAGTGTGTCCCACTTACCATGCTCACCATGGGTATCTTTTTAAACGGTGAGAGATACGAGGTCGGTTAAATGACACCAAATGTGAAGTTTTGTGAAAAAATATTTTGATAAAATCTATTCGTTTTTGTTTTATACGCAAAAAACAGATTTTGATCATTTTCATGTCTCCTCCATAACTTCTTTATTTAAGAAAATATTCAAATAGGAATTTCACATTCTCATGGCAGTTTTTCAAAGTGATTTCGAAAAAAATATGGAATTTATACCAACTCTTCTAGAATTTGAGATATCAGCACCAACTTTAGTTTTTCAAATGTAGGTCATAGCTCCACTATGACTTAGTTACAAATAGCTTTTTTTTCTCTTCCAGATGATATGTCGCAGTAATAGTTTTGTGTTGATAACAACGGAGTTATCGTCATTTATACGAAAACAAACAATTATTTGGAAGCCGCCATCTTGAATTTATGAATTTGAACAAAAAAATCATGATCTCCGACCTCAAAAACCCCCACTCATCAATTTCAACAAAAATTCCATAACTCCGATTAACTTGAAATTTGACAGGTTCATAATTTCGGTGACAATACATTATGGAATTTTTGTTGAAATCAAAAAAATGGCTGCTCCAAAATGGAGGACAAGATTTGGTCCGATTCCATTCAAAATTGGTAAGTGGGGGTTTTTGAGGTCGGAGATCATGATTTTTTTGTTCAAATTTATAAATTCAAGATGGCGGCTTCCAAATAATTGTTTGTTTTTTGTATAAATGACGAAAACTCCGTTGTTATCAACACAAAACTATTACTGCGACATATCATCTGGAAGAGAAAAAAAAGTTATTTGTAACTAAGTCCTAGTGAGCTATGACCTACATTTGAAAAACTAAAGTTGGTGCTGATATCTCAAATTCTAGTAGAGTCGGTATAAATTTCATATTTTTTTCGAAATCACTTTAAAAAACTGCCATGAGAATGTGAAGTTCCAATTTGAATATTTTCATAAATAAAGAAGTTACGGAGGAGACATGAAAATGATGAAAATCTGTTTTTTGCATATAAAACAAAAACGAATAGATTTTATCAAAAATGTTTTTCACATTATAGTTGGCCTTGACAAACTCCACATTTGGTGTCATTTAACCGACCTCGTATCTCTCACCGTTTAAAAATACCCATGGTGAGCATGGTAAGTGGGACACACTGTATAACGGTTTGTCAGTAAGGCTAGAAGTTTGTATTGTGATGGATCGAAGGCTGTTAAGTACGAAAACCACGACCTGGCAGGCCTCACCCATGCACGTCACCATCCCCCATATGTTTCAAAGTGTAAAAACAATTAAAAAAATAAACTTGGCGCTGTAAACTTGTAATTTCATTATGGATCCTATTTAGGTATTGCAGAATATAAAAAAAAATGACAGACGATTCTGATGAGCAGAAGTAGGTGCCAGGCGAGTCCAAAAGTGCGCAAAAGAGGACTGAAAATAAACTTCGCTCTGTATGATTGAAATTCACACATGTTTAACTAAGGTAGCATACATAATATGCAATGACAGGCGATTCTGGCCAGCAGAAGTACCTGACGAGAAAGAAGGTTCTACAATTTTAAGTCGATTTCGATCTTCGTATGTTACCTTTAGCGGGCTTTGGTGACTATATTCTGATCTGTCAGTTATGTATGCCAATATGTCATCTAGGTACATTTATCCAATTCATTGTTGAAGTTAATAACAGTTGTAAAAATGGAATCAGAATACGGTTTTTGTGTGATTTGTGAAAAAAATACTATTGAAAAAATTGTGACATTCACCACAACCACTTTGAATAAAAGTAAAACAATATTGAAAATCAGGAGAAATCATAATTTTTTCTGTGACGGGAAAAAAGTTTGGCATTTCATCTCTGTTGGCAGGTTATAAAATGTTACTTTTCATAAATTACTTTCCCGTGGGAAAAAAGTGAGTACTTTTTTCCCGGATATATATCACATATATATATACTCTGTTAATGGCTTTTGTTGTGCTATAGTTCCGAAAAATGAGTCAATAATACCGTCTCCGAGAAAGAACTGCAAGTCCTTTTATCTTCCATTCGACTTCGCGGTTTCGTATATTACTAAACAACTACTAAATTCGCAATTTTTTAAAATCAAATCACAGAATTGAACTGACAGAAGTGACATCAGATATTTGATTACTTCAAAAGAATGATAAAGATGTCTATAAAACGCAGGTGTCCCTACTGTTAAAAACTTGAAATTTCACGTCGATAATTTTCAGATTTCGAAATAATGTAATATCTTCTCAATATTGATTCGTCCTTCCTTCTGTCACAGAAAAAAATAGTGTATTATACACGGGAAAAATATTAGATTTTAGCTCACGGTTTTTTGGCTCCCTCCGCTACGCGTCGGGAGACAACACAACCTGGAGCTAAAATCTACTACTTTTTTCCCTTGATTAATAAATAACTGTTGAAATGCAATCATATTGTTTTACCAGAGCAAAAAGTGGAAATGTTGGTTAGCACTTCCCAGACGGTTGCCAAAAAGATAAGTTCTCAGGCTCCATTCTAGCAGAACTCTTACCAGTAGGGGTATGAACACAATGTTTTATAAAGAACTGAAAGAATATAATTCTCTTCTTTCTTCTTCTTATTCACGAAGGTCAAGTTCATGTCAAGAGCGTATCGAGTGGCATAATCAACATGAGTGAATGATAGCTCATTGTGCGAGTAGAATACTATACTTTGTCCACGACTACTATTGTCTTTGATATTTTATTTTTAATTTATTTTCAGATGTGTTCCGGCGTGTTCGCCAAAATTTTGAATCTAACGATCTTAACAATAATATGAAATTCCGCGCTCGACAGTGAATAATGGCTATCAATGTTATCCATTTCGTAATAAAATCATGTGTTTTTTTTATTCAATTTTAAATTTTGAAATATGTCAGCAATTTTTTATATTATGTGGTAATTAATTGAATTCAGCTGGAGCAGCGTGAGTAAATGTTTTTTGGCCAATTATAAAAGTAGCAGAATCAACATGAAATAAGTTCAATTATTTTCTGTGATGACCGTGAATTTCTGAGTTTCTTATCAAAACAAAATTGGATTTAGATTATTGTCTATGATATATGAAACTTCAAGAGAATCTATTTTATATAATTCATCCAATGAAAATTTGTCTGTTATCGCATACAGTTCATTTGTTGGGATATCAAATGTAATTCATAGTCAACTTGATAGGAAGAGGTCAAAGCCTTTGATTGTATTGATATATCAATCATAGAGAATAAACTGTACACACTGGCTTTTAGAGATGTCTTTTTGAGCTGGCTATCTTCATATCTTAAAACTAAAAAATATGTGTGAAAGTTGATAACAACAGGTCGGAATTCGGAGATGTCGAACGAGGAGTTCCACAAGGATCTGTACTTGGCCCTCTTATATTTTTATTATATGTAAATGATCTCCCCTTACATACTGAAGCAGATTATACTGTATTATATGCAATAACATCACTCTGGCAGCAGATGGTGAATCCCCTGCTGAACTTCATCATGCAAAAAAAAAATCAGACTGATCTTTGATTTGGACTTCCAACAAACATGTAGAGAACACTTTGGAAACCATAAAATCTTAACATTTCCTTCAATATATGTATCTATAAATGTATTCTGTATGCTAAAAACCAATATTTCCATAACTATTCAACAAGACATGGTTAACAATTTTGTGTCCCTAAACATTCAACCAAGTCAATGTTTTGCATTGTAGCTGTAATCCTGACATGTCTCATATCATTGTGTGTGATCTTGAAAGATGAATAAATATTATTATTATTACTATTATAATTGTTTATATCAGGATCCTATCTGGAATAAATTCTATTTTATGAATCTCGTTACCTTGGGAAGGGGCCTTGGAAATCGTCGGTCGCTGTTGCGGCGCCCCGCTGGTCGGCCTCGGGGCCGCCACCGGAGCCCTAACTGGGCCCCTGGCGGTAGCTCTGGCCGCCGAAGCCCTAGCAGCGCTGGCCGCCGTGGGCTGGGTCAGGGTGCTTCGTCGGTGGGCCGTTGGGCTAGGGGGCACCTAAAACAAATATTGAAATCAATAAGATACTATTAAATATAATAACGATAATAATAATCCTTGATATGAACTCTATCGATCACGATATACAGGGTGAATACAGGGTGTCCTGTAAAGACCACGTCAAACCTAGGGAGAATGTAGATCAAAGGAAAATCCACCTGCATATAACAAATTTCCCATTACAAAAGTCTTACCGTTTTCGAGTTTTTTTTTTTCTTTTTTGAAAATATCCACTACCAAAGTTTTCAATAAAAATATTTCTCACAGCCCCCCCCCCTTTCCCTTCAGGCCCATAAAGAACGAATTCGATGTCAGATTTGAGAAAGAACCCTTTTCCTAGATTTTCAAAATCAGCGGTTCACGCGATGCAGAAGGCTTATACTGGTCGAAAAATATTTTTTTCCTGATTGACCTAAAAATCCCAAAAATTCATAAACACTAATTCAGACCAATAAAGAACGAATTCGATGTCAGATTTGAGAAAGAACCCTTTCTCTAGATTTTCAAAATCAGCGGTTCACGCGATGCAGTAGAGGCTTATACTGGTCGAAAAATATTTTTTTCCTGATTGACCTAAAAATCCCAAAAACTTCATAGACACTAATTCAGACCCAAAAAGAACGAATTCGATGTCAGATTTGAGAAAGAACCCTTTTCCTAGATTTTCAAAATCAGCGGTTCACGCGATGCAGTAGAGGCTTATACTGGTCGAAAAATATTTTTTTCCTGATTGACCTAAAAATCCCAAAAAATTCATAGACACTAATTCAGACCCATAAAGAACGAATTCGATGTCAGATTCGAGAAAGAACCATTCCCCTAGATTTTCAAAATCAGCGGTTCACGCGATGCAGAAGGCTTATACTGGTCGAAAAATATTTTTTTCCTGATTGACCTAAAAATCCCAAAAAATTCATAGACACTAATTCAGACCCAAAAAGAACGAATTCGATGTCAGATTTGAGAAAGAACCCTTTCCCTAGATTTTCAAAATCAGCGGTTCACGCGATGCAGAAGGCTTATACTGGTCGAAAAATATTTTTTTCCTGATTGACCTAAAAATCCCAAAAATTCATAAACACTAATTCAGACCAATAAAGAACGAATTCGATGTCAGATTTGAGAAAGAACCCTTTCTCTAGATTTTCAAAATCAGCGGTTCACGCGATGCAGTAGAGGCTTATACTGGTCGAAAAATATTTTTTTCCTGATTGACCTAAAAATCCCAAAAACTTCATAGACACTAATTCAGACCCAAAAAGAACGAATTCGATGTCAGATTTGAGAAAGAACCCTTTTCCTAGATTTTCAAAATCAGCGGTTCACGCGATGCAGAAGGCTTATACTGGTCGAAAAATATTTTTTTCCTGATTGACCTAAAAATCCCAAAAATTCATAAACACTAATTCAGACCAATAAAGAACGAATTCGATGTCAGATTTGAGAAAGAACCCTTTCTCTAGATTTTCAAAATCAGCGGTTCACGCGATGCAGTAGAGGCTTATACTGGTCGAAAAATATTTTTTTCCTGATTGACCTAAAAATCCCAAAAAATTCATAGACACTAATTCAGACCCAAAAAGAACGAATTCGATGTCAGATTTGAGAAAGAACCCTTTCTCTAGATTTTCAAAATCAGCGGTTCACGCGATGCAGTAGAGGCTTATACTGGTCGAAAAATATTTTTTTCCTGATTGACCTAAAAATCCCAAAAAATTCATAGACACTAATTCAGACCAAAGAAGAACGAATTCGATGTCAGATTTGAGAAAGAACCCTTTTCCTAGATTTTCAAAATCAGCGGTTCACGCGATGCAGAAGGCTTATACTGGTCGAAAAATATTTTTTTCCTGATTGACCTAAAAATCCCAAAAATTCATAAACACTAATTCAGACCAATAAAGAACGAATTCGATGTCAGATTTGAGAAAGAACCCTTTCTCTAGATTTTCAAAATCAGCGGTTCACGCGATGCAGTAGAGGCTTATACTGGTCGAAAAATATTTTTTTCCTGATTGACCTAAAAATCCCAAAAAATTCATAGACACTAATTCAGACCCAAAAAGAACGAATTTGATGTCAGATTCGAGAAAGAACCCTTCCCCTAGATTTTCAAAATCAGCGGTTCACGCGATGCAGAAGGCTTATACTGGTCGAAAAATATTTTTTTCCTGATTGACCTAAAAATCTCAAAAAATTCATAGACACTAATTCAGACCCATAAAGAACGAATTCGATGTCAGATTTGAGAAAGAACCCTTCTCCTAGATTTTCAAAATCAGCGGTTTACGCGATGCAGAAGGCTTATACTGGTCGAAAAATCTTTTTTTCCTGATTGACCTAAAAATTTCAAAAAATTCATAGACACTAATTCAGACCCATAAAGAACGAATTCGATGTCAGATTTGAGAAAGAACCCTTCTCCTAGATTTTCAAAATCAGCGGTTTACGCGATGCAGAAGGCTTATACTGGTCGAAAAATCTTTTTTTCCTGATTGACCTAAAAATTCCAAAAAATTCATAGACACTAATTCAGACTCATAAAGAACGAATTCGATGTCAGATTTGAGAAAGAACCCTTTTCCTAGATTTTCAAAATCAGCGGTTCACGCGATGCAGTAGGCTTATACTGGTCGAAAAATAATTTTTTCCTGATTGACCTAAAAATTTCAAAAAATTCATAGACACTAATTCAGACCCATAAAGAACGAATTCGATGTCAGATTTGAGAAAGAACCCTTCTCCTAGATTTTCAAAATCAGCGGTTCACGCGATGCAGAAGCAGGCTTATACTGGTCGAAAAATAATTTTTTCCTGATTGACCTAAAAATTTCAAAAAATTCATAGACACTAATTCAGACCCATAAAGAACGAATTCGATGTCATATTTGAGAAAGAACCCTTTTCCTAGATTTTCAAAATCAGCGGTTCACGCGATGCAGAAGGCTTATACTGGTCGAAAAATAATTTTTTCCTGATTGACCTAAAAATCCCAAAAAATTCATAGACACTAATCCAGACCCACAAAAAACGAATTCGATGTCAGATTCAAGAAAAAACTCTTTTCCTAGATTTTCAAAATAAGCGGTTCACGAGATGCAGAAGGCTTATACTGGTCGAAAAATATTTTTTTCCTGATTGACCTAAAAATTTCAAAAAATTCATAGACACTAATTCAGACCCATAAAGAACGAATTCGATGTCAGATTTGAGAAAGAACCCTTCTCCTAGATTTTCAAAATCAGCGGTTCACGCGATGCAGTAGGCTTATACTGGTCGAAAAATATTTTTTTCCTGATTGACCTAAAAATCCCAAAAAATTCATAGACACTAATTCAGACCCATAAACAACGAATTCGATGTCATATTTGAGAAAGAACCCTTTTCCTAGATTTTCAAAATCAGCGGTTCACGCGATGCAGAAGGCTTATACTGGTCGAAAAATATTTTTTTCCTGATTGACCTAAAAATTCCAAAAAATTCGTAGACACTAATTCAGACCCATAAAGAACGAATTCGATGTCAGATTTGAGAAAGAACCCTTCTCCTAGATTTTCGAAATCAGCGGTTCACGCGATGCAGAAGGCTTATAGTGGTCGAAAAATAATTTTTTCCTGATTGACCTAAAAATTTCAAAAAATTCATAGACACTAATTCAGACCCACAAAAAACGAATTCGATGTCAGATTCAAGAAAAAACCCTTTTCCTAGATTTTCAAAATAAGCGGTTCACGAGATGCAGTAGGCTTATACTGGTCGAAAAATAATTTTTTCCTGATTGACCTAAAAATTTCAAAAAATTCATAGACACTAATTCAGACCCACAAAAAACGAATTCGATGTCAGATTCAAGAAAAAACCCTTTTCCTAGATTTTCAAAATAAGCGGTTCACGAGATGCAGTAGGCTTATACTGGTCGAAAAATAATTTTTTCCTGATTGACCTAAAAATTTCAAAAAATTCATAGACACTAATTCAGACCCATAAAGAACGAATTCGATGTCAGATTTGAGAAAGAACCATTCCCCTAGATTTTCAAAATCAGCGGTTCACGCGATGCAGAAGGCTTATACTGGTCGAAAAATAATTTTTTCCTGATTGACCTAAAAATTCCAAAAAATTCATAGACACTAATTCAGACCCATAAAGAACGAATTCGATGTCAGATTTGAGAAAGAACCCTTTTCCTAGATTTTCAAAATCAGCGGTTCACGCGATGCAGAAGGCTTATACTGGTCGAAAAATATTTTTTTCCTGATTGACCTAAAAATCCCAAAAAATTCATAGACACTAATTCAGACCCATAAAGAACGAATTCGATGTCAGATTTGAGAAAGAACCCTTTTCCTAGATTTTCAAAATCAGCGGTTCACGCGATGCAGAAGGCTTATACTGGTCGAAAAATATTTTTTTCCTGATTGACCTAAAAATTCCAAAAAATTCGTAGACACTAATCCAGACCCACAAAAAACGAATTCGATGTCAGATTCGAGAAAGAACCATTCCCCTAGATTTTCAAAATCAGCGGTTCACGCGATGCAGAAGGCTTATACTGGTCGAAAAATAATTTTTTCCTGATTGACCTAAAAATTTCAAAAAATTCATAGACACTAATTCAGACCCATAAAGAACGAATTCGATGTCAGATTTGAGAAAGAACCCTTCTCCTAGATTTTCAAAATCAGCGGTTCACGCGATGCAGTAGGCTTATACTGGTCGAAAAATAATTTTTTCCTGATTGACCTAAAAATTTCAAAAAATTCATAGACACTAATTCAGACCCATAAAGAACGAATTCGATGTCAGATTTGAGAAAGAACCCTTCTCCTAGATTTTCAAAATCAGCGGTTCACGCGATGCAGAAGCAGGCTTATACTGGTCGAAAAATAATTTTTTCCTGATTGACCTAAAAATTTCAAAAAATTCATAGACACTAATTCAGACCCATAAAGAACGAATTCGATGTCAGATTTGAGAAAAAACCCTTCTCCTAGATTTTCAAAATCAGCGGTTCACGCGATGCAGAAGCAGGCTTATACTGGTCGAAAAATATTTTTTTCCTGATTGACCTAAAAATCCCAAAAAATTCATAGACACTAATTCAGACCCAAAAAGAACGAATTCGATGTCAGATTTGAGAAAGAACCCTTCTCCTAGATTTTCAAAATCAGCGGTTCACGCGATGCAGAAGCAGGCTTATACTGGTCGAAAAATATTTTTTTCCTGATTGACCTAAAAATCCCAAAAAATTCATAGACACTAATTCAGACCCATAAAGAACGAATTCGATGTCAGATTTGAGAAAGAACCCTTTCCCTAGATTTTCAAAATCAGCGGTTCACGCGATGCAGCAGCAGGCTTATACTGGTCGAAAAATAATTTTTTCCTGATTGACCTGCAAATCCCAAAAACTTCATAGACACTAATTCAGACCCATAAAGAACGAATTCGATGTCAGATTTGAGAAAAAACCCTTCTCCTAGATTTTCAAAATCAGCGGTTCACGCGATGCAGAAGCAGGCTTATACTGGTCGAAAAATATTTTTTTCCTGATTGACCTAAAAATCCCAAAAACTTCATAGACACTAATTCAGACCCATAAAGAACGAATTCGATGTCAGATTTGAGAAAGAACCCTTCCCCTAGATTTTCAAAATCAGCGGTTCACGCGATGCAGAAGCAGGCTTATACTGGTCGAAAAATATTTTTTTCCTGATTGACCTAAAAATCCCAAAAAATTCATAGACACTAATTCAGACCCAAAAAGAACGAATTCGATGTCAGATTTGAGAAAGAACCCTTCTCCTAGATTTTCAAAATCAGCGGTTCACGCGATGCAGAAGCAGGCTTATACTGGTCGAAAAATATTTTTTTCCTGATTGACCTAAAAATCCCAAAAAATTCATAGACACTAATTCAGATCCAAAAAGAACGAATTCGATGTCAGATTTGAGAAATAACCCAACTCTAGTATCTTATGAAAGAAATGCACCAATTCCAAAGTCTCATTGTTACCTGCGGGGCCTTGGCAGCTAGCAGCAAGCTTCTGCGCAACGATGGGCTCCCCCCGGAAACGTTCCCCTTGCCCCCCTGTTGCAACGCCACCCCGGGGCTGCTGTTCCTCGACGAGTCCGACGAGCTCAAGAGGGGGCTGCGCGGTGTCGGCTTGGCCGTGGGGGGCGGTTTGCGGGGGCGCAGCGAGGTGGCGCGAGGCAGTCGACTCGACGGTTCCATGGCGGGCGACAGCTCTTTGATGCGGCTCCTGGAAATTTCATTTTTCTGTTTTTTATCTTTTGGAGCGCACGAAAGGGAATGTCAATAATGTTCGTGGAACATCGTGCGTGCCTAGGGAGGATAGGGAGATGAGGTAGGTGTTGTATTTTTTTTTTGAACTTTTGAAGGTTATAAGTTCTTGAGAATAGGTCGCGTTCACGATGACCGACCCTGGAGGCAAAATATGGGAACACAACGTCACTCTTCTGTGAATTATTGAAACACAACCTCACTTTTTTATTTGTTTACAGAAGAATCAAAGGATTGAAATAGATTTTCACAATATTTTGGCATACAAATCGTGTTTTTTGCTCTATTCATTGATTCAAGCATGCCTTCACATTGTGCTGTTGTACAATGCACAAAAAATGCAGCAAGAGACGAAGGAATATGAATTTTCCGGTAAATAGTAATCTCACATTGTTTTCATTATGAAATGTTGTCATTCCATATTGAAATTCCTCCTGTCACTCCTGCAATACAAGCTAATACTGCTAATAGATTGAAATGTCTACAACACACACGATCTTATTTCGTCAGCATGTCAGACCAGTCCTCCCGTTTGATTGCATAAATCCAATCTTCTTGCATTATTTTAGAATAGTTTCCGAGATATTCGAACAAAACAAAAATACAAGATTTCAGTTTCTCTCAAATAACTCAAGAATGACTGAAGCTAGCCCGGGTTTCTCAATAGATTCTGATTCAACATTAAATTTGCCACAACTTTGCCAGTTTAACCGTTCCTCTATCTTTCATAGTTACTGAGATCCCAATGATGAGGATCGAATTTGGGACACACTGTATTTATGTGAGCTAAAATTATACAACCAGAATATGAATACAAACCTGAGAAATCGGAAACTTTGATAATTCAGCGAACCGAAGAGTTTTTATCTTCTACGTCAGATGAAAACTTCTTATTCACAAAGGTTAGTAAGCAAGCCACTTTAAAAGAAATTTTGTGGAAATCTTATCGTTTATGAAGTTTTTACATTTAGTAAATAAGTAGTTCCTATCTTTTTACTCTTAGCTTGCATGCCATCATTTCGATAAATTGCCGAACAATGTATCATCACAGCACTGATAAGATTTCAGTTCCTACTCAAATTCAAATAACATCAATGAATCAAGAATTTTATCATTGCATAAACAAACAGTTTCTTCCTTATGCATTTAGCAATCCTTATTTTTGTGTAAGTACTTGAAATGTTCAAACATGAAAAATTGTTGACAACAAACTTGACAGGAAGCTGGATTTTGACAGAAATTTGAAAATTTTATAGGAATAGAATAAAGAATCGATAACATAATTCTGAAAATGTGGTCAACAAAGAAGATTTTCACATTTTTTTCTATGAACAAACACAATATTATGACTCTAATCTACTATTTTTCAATTCTAATCTTCACCCATTTTCATCTTATATCCAAAGAATGAACAGTTACCTAGTGCTTCTCCTGACACATTTCTAAAATTGCTCAATTTAGTCGCAAGAAGAACAAACAAATCCGTAAAATAACCTAGAATTTCTCACCTCAACGTAGTGTCTAACCTCAACCACGCATTACTCCTGATCAATCTATCAGCTTGACAAACCAGACACTGCTCCAACTGCAACTTGACCTTATTCAGCAAATCCGCAAACGGTCTGCTCCACGTCTGATCCAGCATTTTACAACACCTACCAACAAAAATAAATCAATTAATCAATCAAATATACTTTATTGCCGATGATAAAAATCCAAAGATATAAAGAAAAGTCACGAGTTCGGTCATATAACAAATAAAATAACATAAATTACAGCAACGGATTGAATTAAAAGCATGTTTTCCATGATTATTTCCTCTATGCTTACCTGGAATAACTCCTGCAAGCCTGATCGATGCCCAAATTCTTGGCGGCCGAAACCATTTGGTCCTCTATCTGGCACACTCCGAATCCCAGCCCGGAATCCAAACCGGAAAGGTACTGAGAGCCTAATACAGCTGCGAAATGCTGCCGATGGTACAAATGGCAAGCATCGGTCAGCTGCAGTACCAGCTGACTAACTGGTTCCGCCCAACGCATCGATGGGAGAGTAGCTAAAACCTGGACGAAACATAATAAAGTGGTGTGAAATGCGGTAAAATGGAGTGAAACAGTGATTAGTTTTTGTATTACCCTATATAGTATAAGAGATTTTTATTCGTTGCTAACATGATGGCGTGTTGTTGAAACACACGATTTTTTTCAATAAAATCAATAGATAATGAAGGATTGCATATATTGGTCCTTCGAGCCGGATCTATTCAAATCAAAGCTTCAAGACTGTCTGTTATTAAAATAATTGACGCTGAGAATGATCAATAATATCAATAGATGAAGAAGGATTGCTTATATTGGTCCTTCGAGCCGGATCTATTCAAATCAAAGCTCCAAGACTGTCAAGTTCTTCACAAAGGACACAAAGCAGCACTCAAGACTACCTGGAGTAACAGTGAATGACAAGTAGCTGGAGTTCTCTCAGGAAATGGAGAAAAATTAGGTAAGAGAAAGTGAGTGCAGTAAAGCCAAATGGGCGCAGTGAGTTATTGAAGTGACTGAAATCAAAAGCAGTGACAAGCAAAGTCGCATTGTTCACATACCTTATCACACTGTAGAATCGTATCGAGCACTTTATCGGGATGCATATGGACGACATGCTGTTGATAACATTTCTCTCTCAATTCCCTGGGCAGACTAGCGAAAGCTCTGCTAGGCCAAACCCTGACAAAATGCTGTGTGATCCACTTTAAGCATCTATAAGGCAAATAAAAGTTCATTTTTTCAAGAAATATATTATTTTTTTTTATTGTGAGAAATAACAACAAGAAACAATAGAGGCAATGATTGTTCATTGTTGTAGTTTGCAAAAAAATCGAAACAACAATAAAAAGATCAGATTTTAAATAATAAATAGACCAATAAAAGATTTTAAAATGTAATGAATCACATTGACCGATGCATACTTATAAAAAAAAAAGAACACAAAAGTTGCTAACTTCAAGTTAGTTGACAAGCAAGCAAGTAAGTTTTGAAGAACCTATAAATTGTAGATTTATAGGTAGTAGGAACAACTATAAAAATAATGTAGTTTCAAATTTCTAAAATGAATCAATTTGAGGATAAAATGTCGCAGAAAAAAATTGTTCACAACTCGCTCGATCAAATAAAAGTTTCCCTCACTTCTGGTACAAATCGTCGAGTCCATAGGCGGCGCTGAGGGGCAACACCTCGAGCACCCCCGTGCAGCATCCGGCGCACGGCCTGTGGAAATTGTGACAGTGGCGTTGCTCGAGCGCATGCTCCACCACCTCCTTCAACCCCTCCAAGCCGAGGGTGTCGGCCAAGGAGGCGAGCTCCACCAGCGAGATGGAGTCGGGCACGTGGGCGGCGCCGCTGTAGATGTGGCAGAGAGCGAAATATACGGACTCGTACGAAAAACCCTGCAAAATTCGGGATATTTCGATTTTTGACCCCCTCAGAAAAAAAATTTGGTACGCCCCTGGAATCAAAATTCTGAATTTTGAAGGGCTCCAGAAGAATTCTTACATTTTTCAATTTGAGACCCTTAAAAAATTGGCGAAGTATACGGATTCGTACGAGAAACCCTACAAAATTCGGCATATTTCGATTTTTGACCCCCTCAGAAAAAAATTTGGTACGCCCCTGGAATCGAAATTCTGAATTTAGAAGGGTTCCAGAAGAATTCTTACATTTTTCAATTTGCGACCCCTGAAAAAAATTTGCGAATTACACGTACGAGAAACCCTGCAAAATTCGAGATATTTCGATTTTCGACCCTCTCAGAAAAAAATAGGTACGCCCCTGGAATCGCAATTCTGAATTTTGAAGGATTCCAGAAGAATTCTTACATTTTTCAATTTGAGACCCTTAAAAAATTGGCGAAGTACACGGATTCGTACGAGAAACCCTGCAAAATTCGAGATATTTCGATTTTTGACCCCCTCAGAATGAAAAATAGGTACGCCCCTGGAATCGCAATTCTGAGATTCGAATGGTTCCAGACGAATTCTTACATTTTTCAATTTGCGACCCCTGAAAAAAAATAGCGAAGTACACGAACGAGAAACCCTGCAAAATTCGAGATATTTCGAGTTTTGACCCTCAGAAAAAAATAGGAACGCCCCTGGAATCGCAATTCTGAATTTAGAAGGGTTCCAGAAGAATTCTTACATTTTTCAATTTGCGGTACACGAATTCGTACGAGAAACCCTGCAAAATTCGGGATTTTTCAAATTTTTTTCGATTTATAACCCCTCTGAAAAAAATGGTACGCCCATGGAAAAAGTGTCAGAGCAGTTTTTACATTTTTCTATTTGGGACGCCTCAGAAAAAAAAGGTGCGACCCCTCAGAAGAAAAATTGTACGCCCCTGAAGTCGCAATTTTGATTCACGAATAGTGGTAGGATTCCAATTTTTTTTCGATTGCGACCTCTCAGGAAAAAATGGAACGCCTCTGGAGTCACAATTCTGATTTTCGAATGGTGCTAGAAGAATTTCCACATTATTTGCGACCCGGCAGAAAAAAAAAATGTACGCTCCTGGAGTCGAAATTATCATTTACGAATGGTGCTGGAAGAATTTCAAAATTTGTTCAATTGCGACTACTCAGAAAAAAAAAATGGTACGCCCCTGGAAATCGCAAGTCTGAATTTAAAATGGTTCCAGAAGAATTCTCACATTTTTCATTTTATGACCCCTCAAAAAAAATTGGTACGCCCCTGGATTCTCAATTTTTATTTTCGAATGGTCCTAGAGAAATTTCAGCACTTTTTCATTTGCGACACCTCAGAAAAAATGGTATACGTCGAGAGTGCCAATTTTTATTTTCGAATGGTGCTTGAGAAATTTCAACATTCTATTGGCGCCCCCTCAGAAATAATTTGGTACGCCCCTGGAGTCGCAATTTCGATTTTCGAATGGTGCCAGAAGAATTTCAACATATTTCTATTTGGGACCCCTCACAAAAAAATGTAGGTACGCCCAGAAGTTACCGTTTCGATTCTCTATCGAAGGCATATCAACATTTCAAGTTCATCTCAGACACATCAGTAAAAAGTGGTCCTTCAAGACGCAATTTTGTCCCGGCATTTTCATTTCATACTTGAATCCTTCAAAATATATTTCAGTACGCCCCAAAATTTCGATTTTCTTCCGATGAAATCACGATTTTGATTCCCTCTCAAGAAAAAAAAATCGAAATTTGGACTCTTTATTTTTAATCTCTTCAGTAAACATCAGGTACGCCTTTGAAACAACGATTTAGATTCTAGAAATTTTGAAATTCCGTCTTTTTTTTCAGATCCTTCGAGAAAAATGTATGATACGCTCGTAAAGTCACAATTTTGATTGTTCGTTCCTGACTCTCCCTGCACCCTGATATAAAAAACAGGTACACCCTGAGGTCACAATCGATCTATAGGGTGATATATTTTAAATTTCTCATTTTTCTCACGAGTCGTGATTTTGATTTTTATCTATTTCCCCTTTCTGAACATAAACGAGTCTTGAAAATAAATTTGGTGAACCCCTGAAAATTTCAAATCACACGTTAAAATGTAAGACATTTTGACTGAATTCTTCTCGGAATTTCATGAATAAACAAACATGTAATAACATTTAATAATTTCAATTATTCGTCGTAATCTCCTGCTAAACTCCATTTCCATTGATTGACTTTCGATCATGTATGCAAAGAGAAACTGAGATAAAAAAAACAATTCATCAAATTAATGACGATTATCAGTGACGAGGCAATAATTTATTATACTTCCAATACTTTTACTTCCTATAGATTTTCATTTCATTCTCTGTAGAAACCATGATGTATTTATTTATTATTCAAATGAGGTTATTTCACTCTCTCACAAGGCATCAAACATTTTATTATCCATCCAAAAATCATCAGGTTTGTATATGAAATACAGCAATTGAGGTCAGACGATTTGTTTATAAGTAAATTTTCATCAATGACAGTTTATTTTATTCAAGAAATAAGTAATTGAGAAAAGCATCTTGAAACCATCTGAGAGGAAATGAAACTTAGAAAAATAGACTTCCAAAATGATTTGAAGCCTGAATAAATTTCAATGGTCTAATTATTTTGAATAAAAATAAAACGATGAAACCAAAATAGGGTTTATGCACTTCAGGGGTTTGAAGGGTACTTTAAATCTCCATTTTCGGGGAAAAAAGTGGTAGTTTGAATCCCTAGAACATTTTAAATCCCTAGGGATTTAAAGTACAACTTTTTTCGCACAAATCTGCATAGATCACTATAGTTACTGAGGTTGTTGATATGATAACAATCAGCACCTTTGATGACGTTTTAGAAATAGAGTACCTACCGTTTAGAGGCATTTGATTTTTTCTCGTAATTTTTAACGTTTTACCTATCCAAGGGAGCAAAGGTATTCATTTCCTCCCGCAAGTATCTGAATAAATACTACGCATTATTTATAAATGTTCTCTAAGTACTCTCTATACTGATATATTTCAAAAACTCAACTGAGATTTACTCTTACATGATGTAGTAGAATAAGAGAAGCCAATCAACGTCTTCCATCTAAAACCAATACTTTTGGCATGTGATAGAATTTCCAAGATTTTAATGCACTTGTTGAAATTCTATTGTTTGATGCTACCCTTCTAGTGAAATAGGTTTTTTTTGTTTTCACATATAATTAGTTATACAGGGTAACTCACGGTCGATGGTACGTTAGACGTTTACGGAGAACGGGTCATAGGATCATTCTGAAATTTTGGTTACTCACGTAGTTGCTCTTGGTCTATCGATCTAAAATATTTTCAGCTCTGCGGCGTTGCCGCTTCTATCGAAAAGTAGCAATAACTTTGTTATTTTAAATGGAACACCCTGTATTTTATTGCATTTTCAGATTCTCTCAGAAGAGCTGATTTCATCGATGCATCACACTTGGGGTCTAGCGGAAATGATTACAGAGATATAGGATGTGAAAAATCGACATTTTTCAACTTCAGGAATTTTTTTTGTCGAAACTATTCATTATTGGTCAAAACGACTCACGTGTCCCTATCTCAACTTTTGATCAACTATCTACTGACATTTAATTGAAACAAAGATAGGGTCGTGCAGAATTCAGAATCTTGATCACCCGGTATATGACCCAATTAAATATCAGTAGATAGTTAATCAAAAGTTGAGATAGGGACATGTAAGCCGTTTTGACCAATAATGAATAGTTTCGACAAAAAATATACCAAAAGTTGAAAAATAACGATTTTTCACACCCTATATCTCTGTAATCATTTCCGCTAGACCCCAAGTGTGATGCATCGATGAAATCAGCTCTTCAGAGAGAATCTGGAAATGCAATAAAATACAGGGTGTTCCATTTAGAATAACAAAGTTGTTGCTACTTTTCGATAGAAGCGGCAACGCCGCAGAGCTGAAAATATTTTAGATCGATAGACCAAGAGCAACTACGTGAGTAACCAAAATTTCAGAATGATCCTATGTCCCGTTCCATGTAAACGTCTAACGTACCATCGACCGTGAGTTACCCTGTATATTCCATATACTTTCTCGCCGTAGAATTACCTCTTGCAACATTTAGCATTAACATATGAACAACAATTTCTTGAAATAGTGCCGCATTTTTTTTATCAAAAACCATAACCACTCCACAAATCATCAAATAAAACTGGTGGATATCTGCCACTATAAAAAGTGACAGTTTTTAATTTATTATCCATTTAGTTAGGCCTTAGAGAATCAGAAAATCTGTAAGTGGTTCAAATAACCACTGACCTTCATATTAGCCACTCGAATGACAGTTGTTAAAATAACCACACTCTTAGAGAATCGGACCGGTATCTAGATAGATCGGAGCAATCGGCAATAAACGAACGAAGTGGACATTTTGTTGACAGTGTGGCGGTAACCTAACCTAACCCCATTTATTTATTTCATTTATTTCCAGAAACTATAAAAATATGAAAAATTAAAAAAAAAAATTTGAATTCATCATCTGAACACATTGCTTAAATGTGACACACCACGAAGGGTGTGTTTTGTCTTGCTCAGAATCAAACAGTTGTATTTCTTTCATTGTGAAAACGTTATTTTGAAAATACGAATACGAGCACAACGGCCAGTCACACATAAACATTTGAACAGTAACCTTACAAATTCAGATCAATCGCTTTGCTCGCTCAAAATTCTCCGAGCATTAAGATCTTTGTAAGATCGCTCCGATTTTATTTGCCTAACGGATGAGATCTACTTCCCCTACATCTAGATTTCATAAACGAACGATTCAGATTCATCGGAGCAGTCTGATGTAAATACCGAACGCGACTATTATTATTTGGGGAGGCGGTTGATTTGAAGTGGTACCCACCTGTAAAGAAATAACATTCCCGCTCTTGTCCAGCCAATTGCCGCTGAGCAAGGCGGCGAAATATTGACATCGGGACGCCAAAATGCACTTGTGTGCCTTCAGCTTATGCCCTTCGACTTCCACCACCACGTCGGGGCCTATTTCCTCCAGAAACATCCTCAGCAAGTCCGTTCCCAGCTTCCTCACGCACCTGGGTAGGGAGTTTAGACATTGTACCGGCTGTCCCATTCTTGATGTTCTTACGGGATATCTCACTTATTTTCAAAGAAAGACATTTTGTGACTCACGATAGGGTCCCTTGATGGAAATTGACGTTAAAGTCATCTTAACAGGGTACGGACAGATCCTCGTCTCCTCTCACTCTAAAGTGTTTGTGAAACAGTTATATAGTTCCATCCTTATTCAATTCTGGGGATAAACACTAGATTTTTGACATTCGTTGTTTTTTAGGTTATATTGAGGTCACTGGCGTATCATACGTAATTTCTATATGGAATTCCTGATTCAACTATACCAAGATATAGCTGAACATCATCTAGTTTTAGAGTTTACTACTCCAGCATAATCTTTGCGATTTAGGGAACATATAAATTGTACTGAAAGCTCAATATATTTCACCAAAAGAGACTGTTCTTAGACTGTATACCAGGGTAATTTGACTGAATAAATTCTGATTTCAAGCCGAGCAGTAGCTAGTTTACCTATGAGCTGAGCCTTATGATTGAGAAATGGTGGAAACTTTGATGTGGGTATCTGGACTACTGTACTCATGTCATGTGTGCTAAATGTATTTTCAGAAATCCAACTCGGAGAAGAATTCATGGAGTTACTAATATCACACTATGTAAAAGACTTCGTCTAGGACGAAAAGTAGGCTGATAAAAATTAATACGTAAAATGTGCAGGAAAATAAAGAATAGAATATACTTCACCCCTCGCTTCACCCCTATGTTATACATATGATTTTTCCGTCTCTTTTGAATAGAGAGCCATTTTCGAATAATTTATTGATGAAAGTAACAAAGAAGTAGGTATACGTTAAGTATACACAGTATAACTTATAGGCACGTTATTTTCACTCTTGCATTCTACATATTTTCTATTTGTGGTAGAGTAATAATCATATAAACTAATGTCTTTCGCCATATTGGATCCGTCATCTTGAATGTTTCAATTTTTGACGAAACAATCATTATCTCCTACCCCGAAAACCCCCAGATATCAATTTTGAATAGAATCGGATCTTCATTACAAAACTCATCCACCATATTGGATCAGCCATCTTGAATATCACAATTTTGACGAAATAATTATATTATCCGACTCCGGAAATCCCCAGATACCAATTTTGATTTTTTGAATAGAATCGGATCATAATTAAAAGTTTCGTTCGCCATATTGGATCCGCTATCTTGAATTTCCCAATTTTGACAAAAAATCATGAAGTTCCACCCCGAAAACCCTCAGATACCAATCTTGAGTAGAATCAGATCATAATTAGAAATTTCGTTTGCTATACAGGGTGTTATTTAAGTACGTGGCCAAACTTGAAGGGGTGATTCTTCGAGTGATTCTAAGACAAAAAGTTCATACAAACATAGGTCCGGTAATGCTTCGTTTTCAAGATACAGGGTGTCAAAACTTTTAAAAGAAATCGTTTTTTTTCGTAAATATCTTAATAACCCTTCAACCGATTTTATTGAAATTTGGCAGTGCTATTCAAAGTCGTAAAGGGCTAATTCAACCCTAACTATTTCAAAATTATCATGTCCAGTGGCGTCCCGGAAGGCACTGTAACCAATATTTTTGACAGAAAAAATGTGCGCCACTGATTTTTTTGCAATTTTTGTATTTGTTTCACATTGAGCAACTAAAATACAACTTTTTTATATCTGGAATTTTTTTCGTATCTTACTTTGTTTTTGAGAAAAAACATAAAAACCACTTCATTGCACATCCCTGTGACGAGCCGAAGGCAAGTGCTGCAATTCATACATACATATTTTTTGTTTTTTCATTGCATTAATTTTGATAGAAAATTCCAAGACTAGAATAGAGTATTAATATGAAAAAATATTAGTAAGACCCCAGTTTTTGATGGTTTAGTAGTTGAAATGTTTTATTGTGTTGTCACAGGGATGTGCAATGAAGTGATTTTTATGTTTTTTCTCAAAAACAAAGCAAGATACGAAAAAAATTCTAGATATGAAAAAATTGTAATTTTAGTTGCTCAATGTGAAACAAATACAAAAATTGCAAAAAAATCAGTGGCGCACATTTTTTCTGTCAAAAATATTGGCTACAGTGCCTTCCGGGACGCCACTGGACACGATAATTCTGATATAGTTAGGGTTTAATTAGCCCTTTACGACCTTGAATAACACTGCCCAATTTCAATAAGATCGGTTGAAGGGTTATTGAGATATTTACGAAAAAAACGATTTCTTTTAAAAATTGTGACACCCTGTATCTTGAAAACGAAGCATTACCGGACCTATGTTTATATGAACTTTTCGTCTTAGAATCACTCAAAGAATCACCCCTTCAAGTTTGGCCACGTACTTAAATAACACCCTGTATATTGAACTTTGAATTTTCCAAGTTTGACAAAACAATCATCATCTGCAACCCCGGAAACCCACAACCCACATACCTTCCAATTTTGAATAGAATCGGATCATGATTACAAAACTCGTTCGCCATATGATCTTCCTCAACAAGTAAATACCCTGTACATAACTATAATTAAAATGTTGAATGATTTTCTGTAGCGCCCATGGATGTGACGTGACAGCAATGTCAGGGATGCCAGTAGACAAAACTAAAATCTCTAGATCATTAAAAAAGAATGCAGCTATGATCTGTCCGTACCCTGTTATGATGACTTTAACGTCAATTTCCATCAAGGGACCCTAACTCACGATAATGCGAACTAATTCGCTTTTTCCGAAACAGGGCAAAATTGAAAATGTTGCATTTTGGGAGTCCCCTAGATATCTTTCAACTTATAAGAAAAGTAAGAACTGCCAGTTATACATTTTTTCACGTAGTATCTAGTGGCGTAGTCAGATCTTCAAAACAAGTTATTATTATTTAGATATAACCCAAAGTTAGCTTTTTTTAAATGGAACACCCTGTATATTTTTTCATATTTGAATAATCGATGCTTTGCGCTTTCCAAAAATATTCTCAGTTTCAGTCAGAATTCTACACCACCCTGTATTTGTTTTAATTAAATACGAGTAAATAGTAAATCAAAAGTTAAGATATGAACATGTAAGCCGTTTTGACCAATAATGAATAGTTTTGACACAAAAAATTCCCAAAAATGAAAAATCTCGATTTTCCACACCCTATATCTCGGAAATCACACCCGCTAGACCCCAAGTGTGCTAGGTCGTTGAATTCAGCTCTTCAAGGAGAATATGAAAATGCAATGAAATACAGGGTGTTCCATTTGGAAAAAAATGATGTTCGATTTTGTGAGCCTTTCTTGCGCCCCTCGTATAAAATATAGTCATTCCTGAAGTTAGCACTCATAATGCGATATGATGTGAAATTATAATATTTTGAAAATTCCTATTGGTTCAGGAGATATTCAACTGTCCCACTGGTCTAGGGACACCCTGTATATAAAAGTTTGTTTGCATTATACTGAGTTTCACAAAAAAGTAGCCGACGTTCGTGAAAACCACAAATTTCTATCTTTGAAAATAAATGACATCGAAAATGGGACAGCATATACAGAGGATTTTTAACAATCTATATATCAAATAACCAACAACAAGTATCAACTTGAAAATGTCTTTAATATTTTCTACCATTGATAGTTTCTGAGATAATTGAGAAAAAACAAAATACTAAATTTCAGTTTTTCTTAAATAATTCAAAAATGACTGGAGCTATACAGAATTTCTCGGCGGATTCTAAGTCATGATTGAGTTTGCTGAAACTTTCGTAATTCAACCAATTATGTATCTCTCACAGTTACCGGGATCTCAATGGTGAGGATCAAATTTCGGACACACTGTATATAGAATGGGGAAGTTTCCTATGTTTTTATCTCACTGTGAAGTTTGTGAAAAATTGCTACATACGTATTTTTTCTTTTCTTGGTAACATCAAATTTCACTTCAGAAAAAAAAAAAAGAGGAACTTGGCTCCTCCACCATTTCTATTACTTACTTTCTGAAAATCCACATCCACACAGAGTTAAAATATGTCTAGATTTCCGGAAATTGTTCTTTGAATGCTATTGATGTTATTCATAACTTGTAAGTCATTTTTTTTGCTAATCAATTCGTTCCTTGATAAAACGGATCTATTTTCTAGGAAAGTTGCAGATTATATCTTGCAACAGCGCCTAATACTTCCAATCCGTCCACACCATTCAAAATACTGGCAGGCACAACAAGAGGAAGGAGCCATGGGTGTCGGCTTCATTCAGTTCTGACCAATGGCAGTAAATTAGGAAGGATAGTATCATTGAATATAGCCGAGATAGTGATTCATTGATTCAATGATATTTTCGTTTAGGATCGAGCTCTATTTGAGATATTTCAATACATAAATAACAAAACCATAACCATCAGAATGAAGCCAACTACCCTCTGCATTCCTGCTCCGAGTGCATTTGTGGTTATTGTAGTGTTCAGTACAGTTTAGTGTTATAGGCCGTATAGCTTGCCTGCGAATAAGTTAAGAAGAAGAGAGACGTGACAAATGACATGGACAAGACAGTTGACAGTTGGCGGGATAAGGAGAGTTAGGGAAAAAGGTTAGGGCGAGCCTGCGCCATTCTTTTTTTACAACTTATTATGAATGTTCTTTAATGTGGTTTTTAATAAAACTGAGTAATTAATAATTTTATGAATCAACCAAGATATTGCTCTACATTATGTATTTTTTTCCTTATTTCTTTTGCGTCGGCCTTTTTCTGCTACTGAGGCTAATCAAAGACGCCGCTGAGCTGAGCACACTTACTTCTTCTTCTATTTTTTTCATTTGTTAGCTATTCGCTAGCTATATTCTTCACCATCAGCTATTTTCAGACTAGATTCAGAATGTACGTCACAGTTTGCTGCCCCAAAAATTAGAAATTGCTTTAATTTGAAAATGAGAACGACTTGGACTTAATCGGGCGCCATTCTGTACAGCGTGGACATAAAACTGGAGAGTTCCGAATGCTTC